TAGCCGTGACACCATTACAACATGATGGACCTACTTCTCTCTGTTTTGATGCCCGTATCTTGGCGAGGAGAAAGATGTGATAACAGTGAGCATCACGTTTTCTGTTGCTCTTTAGCGGTGGATTAACTCCTCTAAAGTCTGTTTCGCACCCATGAAAATCATGCAATCCTGACTAATGTTCAAATTGGCGCATCTGACGGCTGAATGTGACGCGTGTACCACCGCCCGGCGTCCCCGTGCGGCTCGTGTCCCAGCGCCCTGTACCGAGCGTGGTCCGTGTCCCAGCGCGCTGTACCGAGCGTGGTCCGTGTCCCAGCGCCCTGTACCGAGCGAGGTCCGTGTCCCAGCGCCCTGTACCGAGCGTGGTCCGTGTCCCAGCGCCCTGTGCCGAGCGTGGTCCGTGTCCCAGCGCCCTGTACCGAGCGTGGTCCGTGTCCCAGCGCCCTGTACCCAGCGTGGTGCGTGTCCCAGCGCCCTGTACCGAGCGTGGTCAGTGTCCCAGCGCCCTGTACCGAGCGTGGTGCGTGTCCCAGCGCCCTGTACCGAGCGTGGTCCGTGTCCTAGCGCCCTGTACCGAGTGTGGTCCGTGTCCCAGCGCCCTGTACCGAGCGTGGTCCGTGTCCCAGCACTCTGTACCGAGCGTGGTCCGTGTCCCGGCGCCCTGTACCGAGCGTGGTCCGTGTCCCGGCGCCCGGTACCGAGCGTGGGTCGGTTCCAGATCTGCGCCGAGCTGCTGGCGTGCCGGACCTGGCGGAGGACCTGTGGGCGGGCGACTCGGCACTGCGCTCCCTGCTGGATGAGGCGGCTGACCGGTTCCCGGCCGACGGCGTGCCACTGCTGGAGCTGGCCGCCGCGCTGGCGCAGGCCGGTCGGGACAGCCTTGCCCAGGTGGGTTGGGTGGCACGACGGCCGCGGTGCATGGGAGGGGCGGGCCATGATAGGTGGTCTATCTAAGCTGGTACGATTGAGCTGCTGGTGCACCTATCAGGTGTTCAACTGCGGTATGTACGCCTGATGCCTGGAACATGGCTGCGTGGTGCTGGGTCAGCAGTGGTTTCATCTCTCCAACGAGAGGAAACGGCACTGACGCAGCTCCCCGACGCTTGAGTAGAGCGCGACATTGCGGTTGGAGCTGTATCGCCCCGGGGTATGGGAGGCTCAGTTTCCCTCGCTGTCGGCCGGGGTGGTGGTGGCGTCCGGCCGGCCCTGAGGAGCGCGCTTGCCCGCGCTGAGTAGCGCTGCTCTACGGCTGCTGCTGCGCTGCAGTCCGTGCGCGCCTCCGCCGAGTGCCTCCGCTCCCAGTGTCTGTGCCGCTGACCGTCCCCCGACCGTCCCCAGATGGTCTCCTATCTGGACCGGCTGCCGAGCTACGCTGTGCCGGAAGCGCTGGTGCCGGCGGGCACGGCCGTGGCGGCGCTGGACGACTGGACGCTGCAGCACGACTGGTACCCTGAGCGGCGGCTGCCGAAGCTGGTGCTGCCGGCCGGCGCGACGGGTCGCCTGCTGCCCGGCGCCAGCCGGCTCGTCTGCTGGCGCGTCAGCCACCGGCTGGCAGCAGGGCCTATTTTCCTTGATGACCTGCAGCGCGAGGTGCGTGTGCCGCAGCTGCAGACGTGTGCCCACAGCAGACGTGCGTCGGCCGTCGGGGGCGCCAGCCAGCCGCGAGACGGCCGGCCGGCCGCTATCAGTCGTCGGTGGCAGCGCCCGATCACACCGGCACACAACTGGCAACCAAGTTTTAAGCTTTAAGAAACTGGTGGTTGATAAATAATGCTCATTTGGGGCTAGTAGTCAAGGGTTCAAAACCGCACGCAAATCTAATGACACGATCGGTACATCAAAGACAACTGGCGACGCCTGTAGCATATGATGCTCACTGCCAGCTCATGACCACCACCGCCTGCACTGTATAGTGTACCGGCGCCATCTGCTGGCCACCGGTCTAGAGCGGTCGTTGTTGCCTGCCCCAGGGGCAGATGGGCGAGCAGCACGTGCAGCCGGAGACGTCGGAGCGGGCCGGCGCGATGGCGCGCCTGCTGCGGGCGGTGATGGAGCATGGTACACCGGAGCAGGCGCGCCACCTCCGGCCCCCACATCGAGCTCGTGTTCCCATCCTGGAGAGGTGAGCCGCTTGTTCCCCCGCCTGTTCTCCATCCGGGAGAAAGCTGTAACGCGTGCGACCTGGCCTCCGTTTTCATGCAGGATGCTCTGGTAAGCTTGGGCTCCGGTCCTGATGCGCGTAGTGTGCTGCTCTGGTTCTATGGTGGGCGGGATACGGCACCGAGCACCCCGCTTTGTGGCGGGCTGGCTGCTCCGTATGCTGCGATGTGCTGAACGAAGCCCGGCCGCAGGCACTACCGCTGGGGGTGTGCGCCGCAGCCGTTCGTCCACCACGCCGCCGAGGTGCTGCTCTGCATGCGCGCGTGGAGCCCGACTACGTGTGGGAGCACATGGACAGGAACAGGTCAGCACCACCGCTCCTGCCGTCGCTCGGTCGCGTGGCAGGCCGAGAGTCTGGTGCGAGGGCCATAGCCTATGGCGCCGACTGCTGCGGCCGAACCCAACAACTGCGGACAGCAAACCATGAACCCCTCGCGCTTACAAGTCGCAGCGCCTGCCGTGGGCGCTGATTTCCCGCAGATTCAGCGTCGGCTGTGTTACGAGATGGTTTGCCCTTGATTGTTCCGCCTGCACGGCCCGGTGGACGGGTGCCGCTGCTGTGTGCTCGTGTGACATAGGTGACCACCTCTCTCGTTGGCGTACACCAGGGGGCCCATGGGTTTGTCCCTATGGCTCCGCCGCACGGCCCGGTGACGGGTTGCCGCTGGCTGTGTGCTCGTGTGACAGAGCTGACCACCCCGCTCGTTTGGCGTACCACCAGGGGGCCCTGGGTTGGTCCCGGATGGCTCCGCCTGCACGGCCCGGTGACGGGTGCCGCTGCTGTGTGCTCGTGTGACATAGGTGACCACCCCGCTCGTTGGCGTACAACCAGGGGGCCCTGGGTCGGCCGTGCTCGGTCTGATGGCTGTGACACGCTGCAGGTTACTGCCGTGCGCCGGCGCCGGCGCCGACCCGCTGCAGTCGGTGGTCGCCGTCCGCCTCGGAGAGCTGATAGAGGCGCACGAGTGCGTGCAGAGCGGACGCTACCCCGCTGACGCAGGCCTTCCTCCAGCTGCTGCTCAACACCGTCCAGGTGGGCGGCGGGCGCGCGCGGCTCGTGCACCCTGTGCACGGACAGAGCGCGGACACCATCGCTCTCCTGGGCATGGGTGCAACATTCTTCTAGTATTGTCGATGTCTGCAGACTTTTGGTTAATCTTGCGTCAGCTTTGCTCACATCACATACATAGGTCTGCGTAGGTTTCTCGTTATATAGCCGTCCAAGTTTGCCTGGATGCTGCATTGTTTCGAAGTTATCTTACGAGGTTCCTACGTACGGTGTAATACCATCGTAGGATGAGAATTGGCAGTCTAGTTCCTGTGACCCACCGGCGCTCCAGTTTTCCTCCGGCGCGTTGCCGACCGCGCTCGTCTGTTGGTTGTGTCTGGGGGTGTCGATGGCACGCGGTCGCTTGCTGGTGGTCCGTGCAGCCGAGACGCGCCGTGAGGCGGTACACCAGCTACTGTATGGCCACTGCTGTCGGTGGCGAGCCTGTGACCCTTCCGATGTCTGGGCGCCGACCCGGCAGGCGGCGCCACAGCTGGAGCTTCCAGCGCTGGTGCCCTGCGTGGCGTTCGTGCTGCGCGACGTGTTCCCCGGCGCACGAGCGGTTGGCAGTACGCGCGGCGGCGGCGACCAGACCGCGCTCGGCCGCGCCTGTCTCAGCCTCTGCCCGCCCTGCTGGCGCTGGAGCGGCCCGGACCGCTGCAGGCGCTGGTGGCGGCGCGCGCTTTACCGACTCGCCGGCGGCTGAGACGCTGCTCTCGCTGGTGGTTGCACGGTGGGTGGGGCGGCACGGCCGCCGGCGACCCTCACCATTCATTGTTGGCGACAACCATAGTGACCAGCTTTGCAGCCACACGTCCTAACCAAACAGCCGTGACCTGGTTGGCGCCGGAGCGATCGGCGATAGTCTGACTGCGGGATGCAGTGTCCAGCTGGGCAGGATGATTTGCCGTGCGATCCGTTCGGGTGTGAACGACCACATCCTGTGGGTGGTGTTGGACGTGTTGCGGTGTCTTGCGCGCAGCGTTATGATCGTTGTTTTGTGACGAAAGCGTCAGCGGTTACGCGCCACCACGCCCGTCGCCCGTCGTCTTGCAGTCGTTCCCCAGTGTTGCACCATGGTTCTGGCAGGTGAAGCTCGTATCGTCATGCTGCTAGAGGAGCAGACCCACTGGGACACGGGAGCAGGTCTGGAGTTTATCCGTCTCATCCATGTGGCGCTGTCCGTGCTTAACAGGTGCGTCCCACAAGCCTCCTGAGCAGCCAGTGCCATTGAACTCTGTGCGGCAGTTTTTTGTGGGTGGCATCGTTTCCTGCGTGCGTGGAGTTCATGAGCAGTTGCTTTTATGAATTCTGTCCCTATGTGGTATACAGCGGTGCTAATAACGGCATGTGTCTATTCGGACACACGCCTTGTGACAATGACTAGGGTTGTATGCAGAGTTGTCGGGCCTTGTGGCCTTGTACAGATGTGCGGTTGCAGTTGACTGGCCCGCCTGCTGGCCGTCTGACCTCGTCCGTGCGTGTTTGTCTGACCCTGACCTTTGACCTCTCCCGTGCTTGTGCTTCTGACATGACGTTTGACCCCGCCCATGCGTGTGTGTCTGACCCTGACCTTTGACCTCTCCCGTGCTTGTACTTCCGACCCGACGTTTGACCCCGCCCATGCGTGTGTGTCTGACCTTGATCTTTGATTTCAGCCATGCATGTGTGTGACCCTGACATTTGACCTCGCCCGTGCGTGTGTGTCTGGCCTGACGTTTGACCTCGTCCATGCGTGCGTGTCTGATCTCTGACCTGTGACATGGCCCGCCGCTCAGACTGCTGATGCTTCGTTGCCGCGCGTCGTCGGTCGGCCCGGAGCCGAGTCTGCTGGAGCGTCTGCTGACCGAGCAGCCGGCCGGCCGCAGTCAGCTGCGGCCCGTGCTGGCCATCGCCCAGTACCTGTTCCACCGGCACAATCCGCACCTGCCGACGCTGGCCATCCGGCTCCTGCTGCGACTGGCCAAGGTGCGACGGCCGGCGGCGCCGCCGACGCACCAGGCCGCCTGGGTCACCAGTCGCCCGTCGCTAGCAGTCTCCTGCACTGGCGGGAGCATGCACAGCATGTCGGTTTGCTCATGAAGTGGTGTCTGCCACCGGACAGGGCTTAACATTTAGCGGTGCGAATTGGAGCGATAGAGCTTCAAGGAGTAGTGCATATCCTACCGAGGGCTGGCGGAGCATATTCGATGTCTCTGTTGGAACCACTGTGCTTCTACCCGTGGAGATGCTTTTCGGTGGCCCGCCCGCGATGTCCCCACTTGCAGAGCCTGTGAGTTGTCCGTCGTTGCCTGGCTGTAAACAGTGACGCTGCCATCTTGCAGTGGGTGTGCCGGGCGCCGGTGTGACCCGGCTGCCGGCCGTCTCTGATCTGACCAGGTGTTCCCGATGTCGCTGCCGGCCTCGCTCGGCCAGGACTCGGACGTCATCTGTGTGCCGGGCGCCGGTGTAACCCGGCCGCCGGCCGTCTCTGATCTGACCAGGTGTTCCCGATGTCGCTGCTGGCCTCGTTCGGCCAGGACTCGGACGTCATCTGCGGCGTCATCCTGACGCGACTTCCGCTCCGAAACGGAGGACGTCAACCTGAAGGTGGCCATCCTCGACTTCATAGCCACCTGCGTGACGTCACAGCCGGGCCTGCTGCAGCGGCTCATTGGTGGGTCACACGGGCTTGCCGGGGCTCACACACGGCTTACGGAGGCAGGACAAAGTGCACGGCTCAGGACTGGACGTTGTGTGCTCGAGATTCATTGTCACCGTGACATTCTCCAATCTTGATAATTCATTTTAATAGGATATGTGACATCATGCATACGCTGCGGTCTTTTTTGTATATATAGATAGTGATGGCTTTTATTTGTCTGACTTTTGCGTGGTCGCCTTCGCAATTAGCAGAAAGTGGAACATGAAACATGGTGGGTGGGGTTTGCTGTTGCCGTGGATGCAGTGCGTAGTCCGCCATTTTCTGTCGTTTGGCCCACGACTGGCGCTGCTGGGCTATTAATGGCCGAATCTGGCCTAATTGACATCAGCTGTAGCCTCTCCCAAATTCTGCAGGAATTGGTGCCATTGAAACTGAGGAAGGATCGAAGAAGAAGGCCGAGCAGGACGACGAGGGTGGATTCCTGGAAGAGCTGCTCATCATTCTAAAAGAACATAACGATGTAAGGCTAAGCCTGCATAGTCTGTCCATCCGAAGAGTGGACCTCTAAAGTTGTGACTAAATTGAATGTGTATGATTGTGGCAGGTATCACAGTGCCCTGCTACTGTGTGAATCACATTTTGCAAATGCCCGCCAGGGATGCAATGTGCTCCTACCCTGTTGTGCATTTTCCAAGAGCACGTGCATCGAAGGCGTGCGTGCCATCGTGTCTGCGCCCACCGCCGACCGACCGCCGCCGGGCCTGACCTGGACCCCGCCGCCGGCGGGCCTGACCTGGACCGCGGCCGCCCTTCTGACGCCCCGCTCCTTGCCGGCAGCCGGACGGGCGCCAGTCGCCGCTGCTGCTGGCGGCGGCGGCGCTCGTACATGCCCTCTGGCTGGGCCAGTGCGGCTCGGCGCTGACCTACCTGAGCGGCGCCGAGCACTTCTGGTCGGACCTGACGGCGCCGCTGCTTTCGGCACCCGCGCCGCTGCCGCTGCTGCTGGCCGCCCACCTGCTGCGCACGCTGGCGCTGCAGCTCTACTACGGCCGGCAGACGGACCGCCGGCTGGCGGCTGTGCTGGCCGGCGTCACCGGCGACGGCGGCCGTCTGCTCAACACGTGGTCAAAGGTGGGCGGCGGACGTCAGGCGGGGCCGGCTCCTCTGTGAGGGCGGAGGCCGTGTGACCGGCCAGTCGCCAGTGCAGCAGGCGGCTTATGAGGTAGGGCCGGCCAGATGCTGCATCACATCGTCCTGCGGCCGGTGCGCACCAGCGTCGTTGCTGCGGCGGCCGTTGCTGGAGTCCGGCCGCCACAGGTCCCTGTGTCTGCACTCTCCGCCCCCCCCCCCCCGCACCTCAACCATATCTGGTGGCTGACGCTCGTTGACCGTGGGTGGGTGGCTGGCACTCCAGCCGCCGCTGGCTGAGTGCCTGACCCCTGATGATGCCGCGCCGCAGCTGGTGATGGATGTGACGTGCTCGCTGTCGTCCGACCTGAACTCGTCGGTGGACCTGACTGGTCAGGAGGAGGCCTCCGAGGAGAAGCAGGACGACGGCGCCAAGCTGCTGCTGGCCTGGCGGGACTGGTGTCTGGTGGCGGCCGCGCCAGGTGAGGTCGGTCACACGGGGTCAGACTGGTGTCTGGTAGCGGCCGCGCCAGGTGAGGTCGGTCACACGGGGTCAGACTGGTGTCTGGTAGCGGCCGCGCCAGGTGAGGTCGGTCACACGGGGTTAGACTGGTGTCTGGTGGCGGCCCGCGCCAGGTGAGGTCGGTCACACGGGGTTAGACTGGTGTCTGGTGGCGGCCGCGCCAAGTGAGGTCGGTCACACGGGGTTAGACTGGTGTCTGGTGGCGGCCGCGCCAGGTGAGGTCGGTCACACGGGGTTAGACTGGTGTTTGGTGTCGGCCGCGCCAGGTGAGGTCGGTCACACGGGGTTAGACTGGTGTTTGGTGTCGGCCGCGCCAGGTGAGGTCGGTCACACGGGGTCAGACTGGTGTTTGGTGTCGGCCGCGCCAGGTGAGGTCGGTCACACGGGGTCAGACTGGTGTCTGGTGGCGGCCGCGCCAGGTCACGCGGGGTCGGACAGGTGTCTGGTGGCGGCCGCGCCAGGTGGGGCTGCCGGTCACAAGGGGTCAGACTGCGGGGTCAGGCGGGCTCGGACGCACAGCTCACGTCATTGAGTGACAGGTCGGATGAAGGGCTGTCCAGGGGCCAGCCACACCACACCCCCTCCCCAAGGCGGTCAGAGTCTGACCGAGTGAGGCGCATTCATGGCTTTAAAAGAAAATGTAGGTAACTGAGGCTTCTGGCAGAACGCTAATAGGACCAGTTTTGTTAAAATCAGGACACGTTTTACTTTCCCCAAGCGGCCACGGCCTCGCCCGACGCTGGCCAGCCATTCGAAGGCGGTATTTCTGCTCTGATCCGCTCATACAGAGGTGGTCAGGCTTGGAGCTACTACTCAGGCTTGGACATCAACACACGGGGTGGGAATTGCGGTCAGGACTCGCTCTGGGCTCATGTCAGACCTCGGGTGCCGCCGCGGTCGGCTCAGATACGAGCCCTCGGCTGGGTGCACCGGACACGCGCGGCCATCTGTCGTCTGACCGACGCCGGGACGATCGCAGGCGAGATGGTGAAGCTCTCGACGGACAGCCAGCAGCGCCTACTGCTGGACCTGATGACGGCGCTGGAGAGACAGCTGACCGCCGACGGCCGGCCGCGGCTGGTCAACACCCTCTCGGAGCTGGTCATGACGCTGGCCGCCCGCTGGCCGGAGTGAGTGACGCCATCGGCGGGAGGGACGCCCGCGGGAAACCGGGGCGAACAAGGGTGGAGCAGCAGCAACTGGCGCGTGCTGGCATGTTCATTGTCGTAGTTGAAATGCTGGCTGCATGGTGGTGCACTCGGCGGGCGCGGGTGGGGCTCCATGTGAGATGTTCATGGGACGTGCCGTTGACACCGTTGTGAGTGGTCGGCTGTCCGTTGGCCTGCCGTGAGCAGTGCCGCGGTCTGGGCTGTGCGTCAGCACCGAGCCGGCCATCCTCTTGGCTGGCGTCGCTGACCGCTGATCGGCGGCCACGCGTGGGCAGACGCTGCGCCGAGCGCGCCGTCCAGGAGCGCTGCTGCAGCCTGCTGGAGGCCTGCAGCGCCCGCTTCGAGCAGGTGCACGTGCGGGCCCGCACAGCCGTGCTCACCACCGTGCTGCACACCCTGCAGCAGAGCTCCGGGACCGCCGAGCAGGGTGAGGGCTGTCCCGCAGCTCGGTGCGCCCCCGCTCTCAGCCATGCATCCCCACATCGCCCCACAGCTGTCAGCGAGTTGGCGCTGGCGTGCCGGACTGCTGTGCGAACCTCCTCATTGATGCGCAACTTTTCGTGGACTGGGTGCCGTCAAAAGACTGTGAGTGTGAAATTTTTGGGCCCTCTTGGCACAAGGTAGGATGAAGTCAGTACATCAATTGTGCTGTGTCCTGTCACCGTGGTGTGCCGCCTCTGTGTGTGTCGCTGTGGGCTACGGCCGGCCGCTGACGCCCCGCTGCGGCCCGCCGCCAGAGCCGCCACTCTGGCGGCGCTGCCTGTCGCCCGCCTGCCAAACGCTGGAGCTGGCGCTGCGTCACACGGAGCCGGCCGACGCGCCGGCGCCATCCGTGCGTCTGGCCGGTCTGGCGGCGCTGCTGCTCCGTCAGCTGCAGGCCGTCGCGCCGGCGCGCCGCCCGCTGCCCGGCCGCTCGACGCTGCCGGCCGTGCTGGTAGCGCTGGGACGCCGCCTGCGCCGGCCCCAGCAGCCCGAGCTGTGCGAGCGGCTCCTGCAGGCGGCGCTAGCGGCCGCCGCCCAGCCGGAGGCGGCGCGCGCTGCCGTCTCGCTTAGCCTCTCCAGCGAGCTCTGCCTGCCACTGGCTGATCTGCGTCAGAAGGTGAGCACGCGCCCACGCTGCCGGACCAGGTCTGGGGAGATGGTACTGACGCTCCCTGCGGGGCCTGGTCTGGGGAGATGGTACAGTGATCCCGCTGGGCCTGGTCTGGGGAGATGGTGCAGTGATCTCTTCTGGGCCTGGTCTGGGGAGATAGTACAGTGATCCCTGCTGGGGCCTGGTCTGGGGAGATGGTACAGTGATCCCGCTGGGCCTGGTCTGGGGAGATAGTACAGTGATCCCTTCTGGGCCTGGTCTGGGGAGATAGTACAGTGATCCCGCTGGGTCTGGTCTGGGGAGGTGGTACAGTGATCCCTGTGGGCCCTGGTCTGGGGAGATAGTAAAGTGATCCCTGCGGGGCCTGGTCTGGGGAGATGGTACAGTGATCCCGCTGGGCCTGGTCTGGGGAGATGGTACAGTGATCCCGCTGGGCCTGGTCTGGGGAGATTGTACAGTGATCCCTGCGGGGCCTGGTCTGGGGAGATAGTGCAGTGATCCCGCTGGGCCTGGTCTGGGGAGATGGTACAGTGATCCCTGCGGGGCCTGGTCTGGGGAGATGGTACAGTGATCCCTGCGGGGCCTGGTCTGGGGAGGTGGTACAGTGATCCCGCTGGGCCTGGTCTGGGGAGATGGTAGGGACAAGCCGTCTGTGCTCGGCTTGGCCTGCTGCGATACCCATCATCCGTCGCCCTACATAATTGCCCATACGTGCAACAGAAAGGACATTAACCAGCTGTAGAAATGCTTGAGCCCTCACCAGTGATGTGCGAGTATTTCACAGCATGTTCCCAAGTAGCCTGACTCCATTGAGTGAGCCATTGTCAGCGCTAGAAGCTGGCCATGTATTGGCCGACGGGACCTGGCGCTGTCGCGTGCGCTGCCCATCGGTGACCTGAGGTCCATGTCGCCGGACTGCCGGGCTGACCTGCCGGCCGTCCGTCCAACAGCTGTTACGTCCGTCTAACAACTGTGACGTCCGTCTAACAACTGTAACGTCCCCCAACAACTACAACGTCCGTCCAACAGCTGTAACGTCCCCCAGCAACTGTAACGTGCGTCCAACAACTAAAACGTCCGTCCAACAACTGTGACGTCCGTCCAACAACTGTAACATGCGTCCAACAACCACTCAAATCGGATGAGGTCGTCACCGCCAGCTGGCTGGGCAGGAGACTTTGCTGGTAGATGTGCAGGGCAGTGTGACAAGCTAGCAGCTGGCGTGAAAGAAAAACGGCCTCTTAAGTTATGAAACCTTGATTAAACACCGATTTTCGAACTCGCGTCATTTAACTGTTGCCGCTCTCATCCTGAGGTGTAGTTGTGCAGAGTAGGCTCGGAGTATGAGCTGTGGAAAATTGTAATAACCCCCACCCCTTCCTCCAGAAAAACACCAACAAGCGTGTTTTATCCGGGCTTAGCTGACATACATATCGCGATAGATAGCGTTTGTCATTGCCTATCGAATAAAACCATTTTCATTGATTTACCTGGTATAGGGGCCGAGCTATGTACGCAATAATACGTTATGAAATGATAGCGGAAGAACGGGTACAGCTCTGCAAACAAATTGTAAGCGTGTTGTGAGGGAGCGTGTAATCGCTTAAAGGTACTCCATGATGCGTTCCGACTGGAGCTGACCTAAGTGACCAGTCTGCTACCGAGCTCACAGGCAGTTGGAAACCCTGCGGAGCACTCTCGCCAACATCCACAGGCATATATTCCGCATCCATAAATCCAAGATACATATCAACGCAATGCTCAACAAAAGCGTCGTAGGCTGTTTGCTCTTCGGGTGGGGGTGGTTCAGCTGTGCAGCCAAATCGCGCTGAAACGGAAAGGAAAAGTCCATGTTTGCTACGCTGTTCCACTGTAGCGGTATTACGACTGTATGGCGCCCCAACGCTGCGACCGGGTCGGGCAGGCCCCCCGGTTCCGGGTCTAGCGGCCGCCGAGTCGGTCGGGTCCCTCAGCTCCGGTCGATCGGCGTCGGGGGGCGGCGGGCGCCGGGCGCCACGCCGCAGGGATGGCGGCCGGGCGCCGCCGGCTAGCTCTCGCGCGGCTTTGGCGTGAAGCCTAGCCGCATCTCTTCTGCCAGCTTGTCGGGCGGCCGCGCCGCGTTCAGATAGTACGCCCAGTAGCAGACGTTGAAGAGCAAGAAGGCGGCCGGGTACACGACGAACGAGGCCTTCTCGAAGTGTTTGGCGGCACGCGTCCACCGCTCGGAGGCCGTATCGGCGTGGGCGGCCGACGGCGGCGGGGCAGACTGCTCCACCTCGGCCGCGAAGTTCACCGCCAGTCCGCCACGGTTCTCGGCCGCGTCTGACCGGCGCAGTATCGAATTGAAGAGCCGGGTGGCCGGCGACGGCGGCGGCAGCTCCGGCCGACTCGGCGCGTCGAAGAAGACGGACGGCGTGGCGGCGGGCTCGTCGTCCAGCCCCCCGAACAGGTCGTCGAAGACGCGGCGGTTCTCGACCAGCGCCACCGACACGGGCGTGAGAAACCCGAGCCGTTCTTGCTTGTACGACTGCGAGACGACAAACAGCAGCCGGATGTCGATCAGGCAGTCGACGACGGCGGCGAACACGAACAACAGGCACACGAACATCCAGACGTCGATGGCCTTGATGTAGGATGTCGACGGCGAGTGCATGCTGACGAGGGAGTAGAGCGCGGCCAGCGTCAGCATGGTGGTTATGGTCAGGATGATGCGGCCCTGCGCATACGCTGGCGGGATGATGAATGTCATCCAAGAGATGATGACGAACAGCACAGTGGGGAAGTATATCTGGAGCACGTAAAACTGTAGTTTGCGGGAGAAGATGAGAGCGACGCCGATCCGTGAGAAGGTCCCGGTGGCGTATTCGAAGTCTCCTACTTTCAATATGCGCAAGCCAAATGAGAACTGGTCGAGGCTGTAATCTGAACTGACTCCGACGGTGCTGTGCGGATCCCACATAATCGTCTGGATTGCCTGCTCCAGGCGCCAGCTTTCTATGTAAATCGGACAATACTGGACATCCATTGGAAAGTTCTGGAAGTCCATCGGACAAGACAGCTTGAAGACACCAAACATCACGTACGTGACGTTACCGTGCTCGTCCACTCGGAAAGTCTCCGCTGCCGCCAGAATCTCGGGTCTATACACTTCCTCGACTCGAATGAGGTACAGATCAGGGACCCACACCTTACGATGGGCTTCTGACGGCACATAACCCGCACTGCCATTGTTCACCTCCTGAATGTACGGGCAGGTGTCTCTGTACTCGGGAGCAAGGTCTAGCCTCCCGTCTGACCAGAATTGTCTGAGCACCATCAAAAGGCGGACTATACCGAATTCTTCGTTGACATCCTTGATTTGCAAGATGTCCACAATAATTCGAACCACCGTCGTGCACTGTTCAGACCGTTCTGCCTCTGACCCTATTTCACATGTCACGTTCCTTTCTCGTTCCTCCGCAGTGAAGTTGATAGACTGGGGCACCATCCGGTTGTAATGATGGCATACCAAAGATATCTCGGCGCAAGCCAGATGGAGAGGGTCGGATTCATCGCCGCTGCCTGGCTGAAGCTTCGAAGTGTTTGTTGTGTTGGATAGGACTGATCCGTTACGTGGTTGTATGGAGGCTGATCTTCCTTCGATGAGATTTGCACTGCCAACCGCTAAAACCGTAGCTAAAAGGACTAATGCGCGGAGCAACTTACAGGCTTTAAACCCAGCTCCATTCTTGCATGGCAGCGCTCTCGCATGCTTATGCGACTGGCTCTTAAATCTGTCGTTTCTTTTGTGATCAGATTTGAGTGTGCTAAATGGATTTAAGTAGGCCGATGGGTCGGTTTGAGCCATTTCCACCATCAGATTCAAACTTCCCCTGGCTTTTTCACTTTAGATAGCTTATCTGAATGAAATATTCCGTGCATGGAGTGCCAGTAAGTTCGCAGCAAAAGGTACCAAACATGCACCCCAGTTGGAGTGTGCGTTATAGTAAAGGTATCTTGTGCACGATGTAAATCTGTACGCACCGAATCAGGACAATATAACACTGCACCGAATGCTCAACCACGATAGTTTCGTTTTCAAGCAAGAATTCGGTCGTTGCACGTGGATTTATTGCTCCACGTGGTTGAGTAATAACGGGTCGATCCCCTTCGATTGAGCGTAAAACGACCATGGACGCGAACTATTAACCATTAAACTCGATTCCCAGTTTTCAGCTGGAGTCATAGTTAAACATGTCATTGCAGTGCGCACCCAACAAATCCCGTGGTTTTCTATTTTCTTGTTTTGGGCTGTAACATACCTTAGTTTTTACGTAACTATTTGCATTCCACGCCAAGCGTCGTCCGACCCGCGCTGCAAGGCGTGCCTATATGTCGGTAACTCAGCGACGACGCTCGTCTAGCTTACTGTCTGGGGAGCTGGTGGCTGGGACCGATTTAATTTTGTTGTGTGTTTGTGATGTCGGGCTAAGAGCAGATGTACTCCTGTCAGGGTGTGGCAAGATTGATGCAAGACGTGTGCCGAAAATTGACGTCGTTATCAGGGAATTGGTATCGTTATCAGGGGATTTAAGAGAAAATCACTGGGCGAGGAGGATTTGGGCCAGCCGCATTCCGAGTAGCATAAAGCAAAATCTGCGCGATTCGTCAGCCTTTCTGCCAATCCAGCAGTTGCACTCAACTTTCATTTTCCAGTTTGATTTGTTTTCTTAATTATAACCGGATATTATAGACACTAGTGGCTACTAGTGTCTATAATATCATGTTTATCATGTATTATTCATGCGTCATATCTGCACAGCCACGCACGTATCGGAGATGCTACGGGGGCATGTGCGCCGCTCTGATGTGTCGGCTTGTGCCACTCGAGCAACGGCCTCCGAGCAGCTACAGCTGCTGCGTGTCCGGACTAAGCTGGGGCGCAGGTCGTTCATGTTTGGAGTATCTGGCGAGTGGATGTTGCTGCTCGCAGACTTGCGGGCGGTAGCGGCCGCGAACAACGCTACCTTCAGGACAATCTTGACATGACCTGATCAGTCAAGTCGATAAACACTTGCTGCCATGTGGTCTGCCGCATTCATCTGCGTTGTCTGTTCTATTTTCTGTGATCATTGCATGTACAAAAGAGGGCAGCAAGAGGTTGGAGTTTTTGCAGCGCGTATGTGCACGGGTGAGTAGTGCACAAGCGTTCTGATGACCCGCTACGGGTATTGATAGGCGCTTGGCGCTGCTGGGAAGGCCTTTCGGTTAAACCGGTTAAGTCGGTTATATAGGCCCCGATAAAGTCCAGCCGATTAAGCCGTCGAAAAAAGTCACGTAGTTGCGCGAGCAACGATTAATTTTGGGATCCCCATTTGCATGACGTTAATCGACGTGAGTAGCGACCGTGCACGCGACTTAGGATCGCAGATCGACTATGGTCGTGGTGATTTTAGGTGTTAATATTCTGCAATTTTGCATCTTATTTATTCACGACTTATGTAGTGTTGCTTGACGCCATCGGAGACGTCGCAGCCGTGAGAATTCAACGAACTGTCATTTGTGGATCAGACTGGAACTGTACGGTGCGGGAGCGGCGGCGATCAGAGCATGACAACGGACGGAAGTAGTGAACACGTGGCTGCTTCCAATTTTCCGGCACACAAAGGAGGCGCAGCGGTAACCGACCGATAGCTGAACTCAGGCTGCTGTTTAAACTTAACGCGGGCTCATCTGCACGCCGCATTATAAGATGTCGGACTTGTTTTGTTAACCGTGCGTTCTAGTATTACCAGCCCGCGCCGTGTGACTGTGAAAGTGCTCCAAACATGTGTTCTGTCTATTTAGTACGCGCCATTAGCAAGTGGTGAGCTAAGGCGCGTGTGTTTGCCGCGGCCGACTCGACGACGGAGGCCTGAGCTTAGCTTTATGAACTGCTAGAGGTAAGCTGTGCCTGGAGACAAGAGCACACGCCCATAGCAGCTCCGGGGCACGTATTCCCCTTCACCAAATTTATAGAATATATTTATTTGCGCGTAGCCAAATATTGACAGTCAAAAAGTCCAGGTGGGCACTTAACAACACCAAGTACATGCAATGTTACTTGACGATACACGAAGAATTATGCGTCTGTGACGCCCTGAACTCGATTTTTTGGTGATGATTTGTGTTGCCGTCACCATCCCTGCTTGGGACGCGGAGAAGCAAGCCGTGTGGTTGAAGCCATCCCCTAAACCGGGATGTCATCACTGCGTCAGCTCAAGTATGCAGGGAAAATTTGTGTTTTTTTTGTTAGGGGGGGGGGGGGGAGAGGGAGGCACGCCGATGTTGCGGGCCGATGTTGCGGGGCAACACCCAGCGTTTTGCGGAGAAGCGGCCTAGTCTGTGGCCTGGACCCTCTGTGCTGCTGAAGGGTCGGCCGCCAGCGTGGCGAACCGAAGCATGTGGCAGACGGGCGCATTGTCCGAAAAAAAGGTTGCTCGGTGGGGTGTGCGCTCAATAAAGGGGCGGCTTTTATGCAGCAGCTTCTTGTTGGAGCCAGGACATCATGAAGGCATGTGTCGTATTATAAGATGACCTAGTCACTTCCACGAAACCAGTGAAATATTCGGAGAGCATGCCATACAAGGGACGCTGCCAGTGACTGCCGACAAGACCATGCCATTGGCTGGAGCTCTGTCAAGATGCACTGTCAAACGATGTCCCTGGTGAGGATGAATGTTTTGAAAACGAATGGGACGGGCAAAGAAGTCGTGATGAACGAGACCTTCATTTGAAAGACGAAAGATAACAGTGGAGACACCATGAATCGAAAAAAATGGGCTCACTTCAGCCCCAGCCTCGCACCGGGGGCGGGGCTGGGGCGACTGGTGCTCTCCCGGGGCGGGATTGAGTCGGTCGGGGCTCTCCCGGGGCGGGATTGAGTCGGTCGGGGCTCTCCCGGGGCGGGATTGAGTCGGTCGGGCTCTCCGGGGGCGGGATTGAGTCGGTCGGGGGCTCTCCGGGGGCGGATTGAGTCGGTCGGCGCTCTTCCGGGGGCGGTATTGAGTCGGGTCGGGGCTCTCCGGGGGCGGGATTGAGTCGGTCGGCGCTCTCCGGGGGCGGGATTGAGTCGGTCGGGGCTCTCCGGGGGCGGGATTGAGTCGGTCGGGGCTCTCCAGGAGCGGGGCTGAGTCGGTCGGCGCTCTCCATGGGCGGGGTTGAGTCGGTCGGGGCTCTCCATGGGCGGGATTGAGTCGATCGGGGCTCTCCAGGGGTGGGGCTGAGGCGGTCGGCGCTCTCCAGGGGCGGGGCTGAGGCGGTCGGGGCTCTCTGAGGCGAGGCTGAGGCAGTCAGGGCTCTCTGGGGCGGGGCTCCGGTCCGGGCTCCCGGAGGAAGGCAATGCTGATAGCGATGGCGGCGGACGGTCTGGCGGTCGTCCGGTTGGCCTGCCTCAGTTGACCAGCCGTGTGCGAGACATCCGCGCCCACGCCCATCTCAGCTGTCATCCCCAGCTGGTAGTCGCGTGACCATACCCACCGGACCGTGTGGAGGCACGTAGCCAGCTCACTCGCCGCCCGCTCCATCTTGCAGCTGGGCGGAGAGTTCAACAAGGAGTGGCGCGGCGTGTGGGTGCTGATGGTGCATCTGTGGACGACGCTGCTTCGCTCGCAGAAGCACTTTTTCGTGGCGGACGCCCTGGACTTCGCGGCGGTGCACTGCGGCGCCCTGTGCGCGGCCGTCTCCCAGGTGAGCGCGCTGCAGGTGAGCAGCCTGCAGCGCAACCGTGGCCCTGGTGAGCGTGTCCTGAGGCGTGCTCTGAGGCGTGCCCTGAGGCGTACTCTGAGACACATCCTGAGGTGTGCTCTGAAGCATGTCCTGAGACGTGCCCTGAGGCGTAACCTGAGGTGTTTCCCGGGGCATGCCCTGAGGCGTTAGGACCGCGAGGCGACTGGCAGGTCGTTGGCTGGCGGTTGCTTTGTATTTTTGTAAGCTGTCGAGTAGTCGGCCATTCGGACTTATTTTTCTTGGAAGTTGGCTAGCTGGTGTGTATCCTGTATAGCGTGTCGCCTTTGTTGTACTTACTGTTGGGTCCGCCTGCTGTTAGAGCATATTGTAAGGACTATACAGCCATGATGATGGCTGCGGGCTTACGGCGAGGAGAATACAGCCATGATGATGGCTGCGGGCTTACGGTAAGGAGAATACGGCCATGATGACGGCTGGCGGCATCCATGCCATGATTCTCCAGACACCTCTAGCATACTGGTGTTTGATTTCGGTGCGTGCTGTGGGTAGCGGTGTCAGTTTTTAGAGCCGCGCTTGACGCGTGGCAGTGGAGCCGGCTCGCTCGGCACCAGCGTTGCGCGATAAGGTGGCGCGCCGTCCGGGCGGCGCTGGGAACACCGCCGTGCCGTCCGGGCGGCGCTGTGCTCACCGCCGTGCCGTCCGGGCGGCACTGTGAACACCGCCGTGCCGTCCGGATGGCGCTGTGCTCACCGCCGTGCCGTCCGGGCGGCGCTGTGCTCACCGCCGTGCGGCGCGCCACAGCTGCGGACCAGTCTGCAGCCGGCCGACCTGGAGGAAACGGAGGCGGTGCTCAGTTTCCTGGCGACGCTGATGGACTTCAGCCGGCAGTGGAGGCAGCGGCACCGGCAGTCGTTCGACACGCTCCTGGTGAGTCCGCTGTCCCGCCGCCGGTCAGTCCCCGGCTAATGGTCAGTCCGCCGGTCAGTCCCTGGCTAATGGTCAGTCCGCCGGCCGGCCCCCGGCTCGCACGCCGAGGCGACCAGAGCCGGCCGGCCCCCCGGCTCGCGTGCCGGGCGACCAGAGCCGGCCGGCCCCCCGGCTCGCACGCCGAGGCGACCAGAGCCGCCAGCCCCCCCCCCCCCCCCCGCTCGCACGCCGAGGCGACCAGAGCCGGCCGCCCCCCCCCCCGGCTCGCACGCCGAGGCGACCAGAGCCGGCCGCCCCCCCCCCCCCCCCGCTCGCACGCCGAGCGACCAGAGCCGGCCGCCCCCCCCCCCCCCGGCTCGCATGCCGAGGCGACCAGAGCCGGCCGGCCCCCCGCTCGCATGCCGAGGCGACCAGAGCCGGCCAGCGCCTCCTGGTGACGTCAAGGAGGTCTGAAGCGGTGCGTGTCGACCGCGCGTGTCAGTGCACCCGTTCGCACAAATGCTGGTGGAAAGGCTTGACTTCGAATGAATGACTACCTCCGTTGGTATCGACTAATTACGTTATGTTGTGTCTTGCGCAGTTGCATTGACAGTAGTCATATGCTTGCACTTTATCTTACTGTGTTGTTCATGTCTTACATTGTCTGGCACGTGTCAGCCTTTTTCCAACGGTAGCGTAAATGATGACATCGCTGCCGGCGATTTCAAAAATTTCTGTTTTGTGTCAATCGGTTTAAACTTTTTATTCCCCAAGAGGCCGTTGCGCATCACTAAGCATCACGAATGAAATTTGCCAGACGTGGCCTGGATTGCAAGGCTGGATCCAGGGTCCCACAGGGCTTGTGCTCATGAGATCCTGGTATCTTTTAGGGGCTCCAGGCACATGCCCGAAAGCCGCCACTTGTCTCTGGAACGTCGGGCTCTCAGCTTCGCATGAGTCCATGTTTGAGGGCGCTGGCTAGAGACCAGTGGCGGCGCCCAGTGTCACCTGCAGCTGCCACAAGCATCTGCCAGGCGCCGGCTCGGAGTGCGCTGAGCGCCCGGTGTCGTACGCCGCAGGCCTGGCTGAAGGGGTGCGTGGGCATCTGTTTCTGGTACGTCTGCCGGCCGACGGTGGTGGTCGTGCTGCTGGAGCGGCCGCACACGCTGGCCGGCAGCGAGCAGCTGAAACGCGTCCGCCGCCTGAGCAGCACCGACCCGGACCCGGAGCGGGCGCCGCCCCAGGTCACACGCGTACAGAACAGGTCAGTGACACGGCCCCCCGCGCCCGGAGCTGGTCACGAGGCACACGGCTGGCAGCGGGTCGCCCCCCCCCCCCCCCCAACTGCCGTGATGTGGTACGCTAGTCGCGTGTCGGAGCTGGTCACGAGGCACACGGCTGGCAGCGGGTCAGCCCCGCCCCCCCCCCCCTCCCCCCCCCCAACTGCCGTGATGTGGTTTGCTAGTTGTGTGTCGTGTGGAATGGCTGACGTGGTGAGCTCGAGACACGTGATCCCATGCGTTCAGCATCGCCCCGACAGTGCCGGAACTCCGGCTCCGGGAGGTGGACTGTGTGGCCTGACGCTGGTGTTGCCGGCCGTCCAGGCTGGGGCGGCTCTCGTCGGTGTGTCTGGTGCGCTGCACGCCTGTCGCCGCCGCTGCCGGAGCTGCTGACGCAGGACGGCCGCGACCTGAGCGGCTGGCAGCGCTGGTGAGCGCCGGCTTCGCTCGCCCACACTGGACAAGCCTGCCCGCCGCCGCTAACGTACGGCACCCTGCTTGCCGCCGTCAACGTCTGCGTCCGGGCCCTTCACCCGGTAAGAAGGTTGCCGCAAGCTAGGGCAGCGGCAGTGGCGGGTGGGTGGAGGCCGTCCTGGCCCTTTACCCGGGTGAGAGGCGCCGCACAGAGGGCAGCGGCAGTGGCGGGGTGGGTGGAGGCCGTCCGGCCCTTCACCCTGGTGAGAGGTGCCGTACAGAGGCGGTAAGAGGTGCCGCACAGAGGGCAGCGGCAGTGGCGGGTGGGTGGAGGCGGTCCGGCCCTTCACCCGGGTGAGAGGCGCCGCACAGAGGGCAGCGGCAGTGGCGGGTGGGTGGAGGCCGTCCGGCCCTTCACCCGGGTGAGAGGTGCCGTACAGAGGGCAGCGGCAGTGGCGGGTGGGTGGAGGCCGTCCGGCCCTTCACCCGGGTGAGAGGTGCCGCACAGAGGGCAGGGCAGTGGAGGGTTGGGTGGAGGCCGTCCGGCCCTTCACGGGTGAGAGGCGCCCGAGGGCAGCTGCAGTGGCGGGTGGGTGGAGGCCGTCCGGCCCTTCACCCGGGTGAGGGGCGCCGCCCGAGGGCAGCTGCAGCGGGTGGGCGTGTGGTGTCCGACTGGTGGAGGGGAGGAACGATCCAGCACCACGGCGCTCTCACAGCGGAGGACCAGGACAATGCGTTGTTAGTTTAAAAACTCCTGTTGGATCTGATCAGTGTGTAATGAGCTCAGTCGAGCGGATTTTGAGACGGTGCGGCCAGTAATGGGCACCACTGAGACATGCGACATGCCTGTATATTGAGACGTTCAACAAAACCAGATGCGTCGGGGTGGTCGTGAACATTGCAGTAAGATGCCTCAACACTCAGAGTGAAACATGAGGTGGAGCAATTGTTCGGTGGAAGAGTGTCGTCCGTGCACTTCGCCATGTTTGTCTGGCACTTCCCTCTCACTGCTGGACCACAGTCAGCCTCGCATCTGTCTGCAGACGCGGTTGGACAGTTTGGGTTAGGAGGTGGCGAGCCAACGGCTGTGTTCTGCTCCTTGTGTGGTTTTATCAACATTGTGCAGAGTTCAGGTCGGCAACTACTAAGCTCATTAAGCACACAACACTTCGATGATGGCATAGCCCCCTTATTCAGACCACCGGGCACACACAGATACACAGACACAAGCACTTGTGAGCCCTGACCCCTGGCATCCCATCGCGCGGTTCCAGTGCATTTCGATGGTGAAAGTTTGAGGTGCCGTCGGCACGGTCCGTCCTATGTGACTTTTGACGTGGCCACTGCCACCGGCCACGGGCAATATCCGTCGAGGGAGAATTGGTGAGCGCTTAAGGCGATCCGAACCCACCCCGCCGCGGGTGAATGAGTCGGAAGGCAGCCTCTGTAGCCAGCTGCGCTACCCGGATGGACCGTTGCCGTGGTTTTCAATCAAACTATAAAGACATGACAGGTCACGGTCTGCAGGCGTCACTACATTGAAGTCATCAGCTGTCGAGTAGCATCCCTATTTGAATACCCGAGCACATGCACACACGCTCATACTAAAACACACATGGGTGCACGCGCAAACCCACACGCACGCGTACGCACACACATAAACCTAAACGCACACGCACATACACACGCGACACGCACACCAATAATTGCTGTTGTGGGATCGTTCCAACCGCAGGACAAGTTACAATGGATTATTGATTTTAGCTTTCTGCCATGCATTGCTGTTGACGCGGAGACTTCGACGCCAAACGCGTGAAAATTGAAGTGTTGCACGCTTAGTGGATTTTATAGATACCTACCTGACATCTGCGCGATCGTGACATAGATAAACCAAGGAACGGGAATAGCCTTGCACTGGCCACCTCGAACTAAACCCAGCGTGTTTTCCGCCCCGACGCGCATCAGGTAAACGCACGCGTGCACAAACTGACGCATGCACGCACATGTACGCACGTACGCACGTACGCACGCGCACCGCACGCACCCACGCCGCACGTACACACGCCTCACGCGTGCATGCGAGCGCCAATAAGTACTGTCATGGGAGCGTCCCAACCGCAAGATGAGGTACAGTGAAACGGTGCTGTTGGCTCGGTGGTAGTGGCTGCTTTAAGAATGGGTTTCAACGCCAAAAAATGAGTAAAACTTTTATGGAAGGCCTTTTTGCTTCGTGGGTTTCATGGATATCGGCCGGAAGTGTTTGATGTCGTTCGTAGAATTAGTCAAGGATCGACAAGTTCTCTGTCCAGTTAAGTCTCGTTAAAATTAGCCAAGGACCGGCAAGTCCTCTGCGCGGCAAGTCCCGGTAAGTCTTGCCGGTGGACGGTAAGTCCCGTTGCTGGCCATCGTATTTTGAAGCTTGTGCCTCTGTGCCGGGCGTGCCGTACGCTGTTCCGCTGCGCCTGGCCTGGCCTGGCCTGCGTCCGTCTGCGCTGACGGAGTGCGGCGTGCGCCGGCCTGCGTCCGTCTGCGCTGACGGAGTGCGGCGTGCGCCGGCCTGCGTCCGTCTGCGCTGACGGAGTGCGGCGTGCGCCGACCTGCATCCGTCTGCGCTGATGGAGTGCGGCGTGCGCCGGCCTGCGTCCGTCTGCGCTGACGGAGTGCGGCGTGCGCCGGCCTGCGTCCGTCTGCGCTGACGGAGTGCGGCGTGCGCCGGCCTGCGTCCGTCTGCGCTGACGGAGTGCGGCGTGCGCCGGCCTGCGTCCATCTGCGCTGGCGGAGTGCGGCGTGCGCCGGCCTGCGTCCGTCTGCGCTGACGGAGTGCGGCGTGCGCCGACCTGCATCCGTCTGCGCTGACGGAGTGCGGCGTGCGCCGGCCTGCGTCCATCTGCGCTGACGGAGTGCGGCGTGCGCCGGCCTGCGTCCGTCTGCGCTGATGGAGTGCGGCGTGCGCCGGCCTGCGTCCATCTGCGCTGACGGAGTGCGGCGTGCGCCGGCCTGCGTCCATCTGTGCTAACGGAGTGCGGTGCGCGCCGGCTTGCATCCGTCTGCGCTGACGGTGTGCGATGTGCGTTGCAGGCCGAGCCGGCGCGCCGCTCCTCCGGCACCGGTAGCCACGAGCCGCTGCTGGAGCTGCGCGCGGCGCTGCTGACCGGGCTGCACCAGACACTAACGCTGGTGCTGGAGCAGGCCGTGCTGCACCGGCTGCTGCCGCCGGCCGACGCCGACGACCAGCCGCTGAGCTGGGACCAGCTGCGCGAAGAGCTGGTGAGGCACGCTGCTGTCAGCACTCTGCACACATGCAGAAGGCAGTCAACAGCAATGTTACACTAAGGTGCTCAGTTTGTTGAAGTCTGTTACTCCTACAAGATCTGGCATCATGCTGCCGATCCCTTTTGAAAACTGCGTGCATTTACAGCGGCTGGCTTTGGTGAGGTTACGTGGTAAGGAATGTTGTGGCGAGCGGGGCCGAGCATGACCGAGTCGCTTCCTGGATCATCTCCTGCTGGCTGTGGGGCTGCGGCTTACCAGCCTACCAGTGACTCTGAGGGGCATTGAAAACATCGGACCGAGCACTGCTCTTCCGTCCAATCCATTGCGTTTGTTGTCGACCGTAGGTGCATCGCTGGTGCGAGAGCCAGTAACTTGCGGTGGCGGCTGATTTGGAGCCCACGGGCATCGTGCAGATGGGTGCAGAAGTGTTCATGAGCACATTACCTGGCAGTGGGGAATTTCGTAACGGCGTATGTGGATAGCAAAGAAGAAAAAAGACGAAGCATGTACCCCCTCGTAGGTCGTAGGCCAGTGTCAATTATGATGCTGTCATGCCAGCTCAGCAGAGCACTGATGAGTGAAGTGCGTTTATCAAATGAAGGCCAGGCAGCCAGACTGTCAGTCCGGTGCCTAGCGCCCGTAACACAGGTCCTGTGGCCATGTATACGTGTATGCCAGTCTGTGCCGGCCGCTGTCGTGACCGCCGCCCGCGGGCCATTTTGCGGCGGGCGGTGACGCCGACCGTGCCGCCCCATCGACAGAAGCCGTTCCTGGACAGCGTGCGGCGGCAGCAGCAGGGCCGGAGCTCGCCCCACCCGCAGGAGGGCGGGCCGCCGGCCGACCAGGCTCTCCTCCCGCTGCTCGACCGTCTGGTCAACGCCGTGCTGAAGTGATCCGCCGCTGTCGACCCACGGGCCTGGCCATCGTTGATGCTTTCATTTGATAATACATCGTTCGAGAATGGGACATAGCTTCCTGGCCGCGGACGCGGAGACCGGCGGAAGGGTCAGCGCGCGTGCCACTCAGTCGGGCCGAGCGTTCGTTTGTCGCGAGCTCGCAATCCCATTACCGCGTACGTTTTCCGGCAGATTTAACCGTGTCAGCCCGTCAGAAAGTGTTTGCACTGTCGAATGCACGATCTTCACTGTCGCCCGGTGAGACTGGTATGTTGGAATAGAGAAACACAGCCCAACTTTTGCCCCTTGGGCAGGCTAACATGATCAACAACATGTGTTCGGGGGCAGAGCGCTAGGAAATGGCGAAACCGACCCCAAAAATGCGCTATTAAGCATGTTCCTCCACGGATCTGGCCAACCTCAAAGAAGGGGCTCCAGCCTCTCCCCTCCCCCAACTGAACAGGAAATTTCACCCCTGGGTCAAATTGCACTGTTAAGGTATACCAAAGCATCATTGAAACAATTTTGCCCATATGGTCGAAACATTCTTGGCAGCGTGCGGGGCAAGTGGTAGGGATATGTTCATCGTCTCATTCCGCTGGAGCTACTCTAAACCCAGAGTAGGCCATGAAATTCGTGTACTCCAAATAACCGTACAACCGGAATGGGCCCATTTGTTGGAGGGATTTCATTGTGCATAGATTATTTATGCTTTTGTGGAAATGGTTGAGCCATCGCCACTGCGGCCAGCTGTGATAATGACAGCTAAGTAGTCACATTATTGTTAGGTGACCACGCTATGACGTCTTGTCGACTTTGCCAAATAGTATACAGTTCTCGAGCAGCTCTCTGCATTGCCGTGCTCCTGAAGGTTAGTATACGAACGTTGTGTGGGCTGTTTCGCCGCGTTTTGCCGTTCGTACAGCGGCGAAACGATCTCCTGATACTCAGGAGACCGTTTATGGGCTTATGTTTGACTCGGGCGCTTTTCGTGACCTAAGCCCACCTAACGTCACCACGGTCTGGAAAGGAAAGGTTACTGCCAATTGCGCATCGGTTGGCAAATGCCTATCGGTCCCAAAAAAACTCCGAGCATGGGGTTGCCTGCAGATCAGTTCATGGTGATTTCGGGCATTTTTGGAGACACTTGACCTCGTCTGAGGTCACCGTGTTTTGGCTAGGCTAGGTTATGGACCGTGGCCCATCGATTGGAAAGGTTTTGTACCGATTGATCCCGTAAGCTCGGAGCGTGGGATTTCCTCCCGCTAAAGTTGGTGGTTTGTGATATTTTTTTTTGTAATCGTCGACTCGATCCAAGACCACCATGCTCAGGAAAGTAACGGCAACCGACCGTGGCAGACCGGTCAGTAAGGGTTATGTGCTAATCGGTAGTATAGGCTTGGAGTATGGGTTGTCTACAGCCTGTTTGATGATTTTTGGCATCTTGGTGACCTTTGACCTGACCCGTTGTCACCATCTATTGGAGAGGAGAGGTTTCCGACTAAGCGGCATTAGATGGTGAAGGTTTGGTGTCGGTTGGCCCCACAGGGCAGAGGCGCGGGGTTGTGACCGCGTTTTGGCAGCCGTTTAGCCTCTCCTTGCATTTCCTATCTGCGTACGTTGCGATCGACAGCAGGTTGAGCATTTCGCCTTGATCAGCCTTGATATCGCCGTGGGTCGGGCGTTGGATAGTGGCTGGTGGCAAGGTGCGCGGAGCCGCGCAGGAGCGTGATGTTGAGGTCGGACTTGAACCTTGTGAAAAGATAAGCCCTGTTGTGTGTAAGCGTGGATAACGGAGTGGGTACCGCATCAGTTTGGTGCAAATAGCCTTTCGACAGAACCTTGCCGCGGTTCCACTTTGGGCGTTTTGTGAGTCACTGGCCAATCAAAAGCTATCCTGCAGATCCTGCGGGGTAACGAAAATCGGGCGCCGGGCCTGGCTGCAATGCACTTGTGAAAAACACTGGGAACTGGGATGTTGAGCTTGCTGAAGGCAGGTTTGTGCGTGCATGACAACATTGTGGAGCCTCTGGTCTAAAAAGGACAAGATCCAAGGGTTCATCTGAGCAATGATGTGACAGTTTCAACATTAAGCCTTTTGCCATTGCTGGCAAGCTTGTATGGAAGTAAATGGCTACTCTTGAGAAGAAAATGCCCTTGTTGTGGCTTCTGCTCCTTGCTCATAGCTTTATCACAACAGGTAGGTGTTCATCAGCACCTTATATGGGCTATGCAACATGGCTCACATGGGAGCCAGGTGACAGAGAACATGAAATGTAGTGTATACATGCCTATTGCTGAGCCATGATATTCCATTTCAGTGGCGAATGCCAAATGTAATATGAATATTGTCAACACTGGTAATTGGCACACCATTATGAGATGTGACAATTGGTTGGTGCACATGTTCTTTTACTGAATATTGCATTGGTTGTTAGAGAACTACCAGTGTACCTCCTGTGTAAAATTGTGTAAGTGTTGTCTGTATTTTGGTTGCATTGTCTGGTGTTTTAATTAGGGTAATGCTGTTTATCAGGATAACAATGATGATTGATCTATCAGGATAGTAATGATGCTTAAAATGCTGCAAATTCTTTATTTGGATGGATACAAATTGAAATGCCCATGTGCATGAACAGATTGGCTTCTTCAGATGAGTGTGGTATCAATTAGAGAACAATGTCTTTGTGTTCAGCACCAAATCTGTTACAATATTTGCATAAAATTTCTGGCATGGGAATAATTTTCATTAAACTCATAATGTAAGTATCAATGTTCTATGCACACTGTCATTTAAAGTTAATTGTTTGATGATAATGAACCTTGAATGATGTTTGCAGCTTGGTTTGAAGGGCCACAAATTGCCTATGAGCTTTGTGATATATAGTATTATAGTGCAAATTTCAAAATTGTAATGTACTCATCAGCTCAGAACTGTGATTTAGGTTATCAGCAATGAGCAGGGATAATGTGTGGTAATGGCTCAGACAGCTAGCTACAATGGCTGGATGTTTCTAGGCTCAAGCATTTCTTCATACCAGAAGCTGTCACCTAGAGAGCTGTTCAAATTCCGCTCATACAAGGATGTGCAGCTGTTCCATTTTCAAGCTCCAGAGCAAGTGAAGCTAGCAACATTCTCCTTTAGGGCAAATGAAACAAATTCAAGATGTGATGCAAGAAATGTCACCCTGTAAGTATAAATATCTGTGTGGCTGCCTATGTAATACAAATATTGCACAATGTAAAGTTCTTGCTATTACTTAGCCACTGGCTTCCATTCCACCATAATTTTACTATGGTATTGTTCAAATTTGAGTATATTCTGGTGTGGCAGAAATTAGGAAGATTAACTGTGATGTAATCAATCAGGCAAAAAGTTGTTGGATGGACATCTTAATCAGATAAGGATTTTTTCTTGCTAGGATTTTCTCTTTGTGCTACACTCAATCTGCAAGGTTTTGACATTAACATGCAACACATGTCTATTTGGAGGGCAGATGCATCAGTAGTTCTTCATCATGGAAGTGTGTAAAGCCATGCTGTTATCAGCAAAGAAAATGCTCAATCAACATGAGCAATATTTCAGATGTTCTGAATTTATTGGGTTCAAGCCTGCCTTTGGTAATCACAATTGAATGTGTGTTCTAAAAACGATAACATTGGAAACTTTTGATAGTCATGGGTTTAGCTAAGGCAGTTTTGGTGTTCAGAAGAGCTAGCATGTCAAACCACCAGAATGTCACCACAACCACCACCACCATAGCCTCATTATTCTGAAGCAACTGCCATGATAATTGCCTGAGGCATCTGTCTTGCCCTTTGTGTGGCAGCTCTTACTACATTAAACAGTTTGCACATCACTGGCTTGACTGACCCCATGCCCAGGTACCTGCAGCATGGCAGCTACCCAGTCATATCGCCGCTGGGGGCCGAGTTCCCGGAGAACTTCTTCCTGCAGCGCACCTCTCTGGCCAGCATCAGCACGCACAGTGACTCCTCGTGGCTGCGGTACACGGTGGCGGCGCCGCTGCCAGGCGATTGGTTCGCCGCTGGCTTCATCCTGGCCGAGGACACGCGCATCACGCAGAAGGTGGGCGCGCGGACGCCCGGCCTCGTCTGCCAGTCCGATCACGCTGCCCGGCTCCCCTGCCGGTCCGGTCACTGCCACCCGGCTCCCTGCCGGTCCGGTCACTGCCCGGCCCTGCCGGTCCGGTCACTGCCACCCGGCTCCCTGCCGGTCCGGTCACTGCCACCCGGCTCCCTTGCTGGTCCGGTCACTGCCGCCCAGCTCCCCTCCGTCCGATCACGCCGCCCAGCTCCCCTCCGTGCACCGCCAGTCCCCTCCGGTCCGGTCACTGCCGCCCAGCTTCCCTGCCAGTCCGGTCACCGCCGCCCAGCTCCCCTCCGGTCCGATCACCGCCGCCCAGCTCCCCCCCTCCGGTCCGGTCACCGCCGCCCAGGTCCCCTCCGGTCCGGTCACTGCCGCCCAGCTTCCCTGCCAGTCCGGTCACCGCCGCCCGGTTCCTCTGCCTGTCCAGTCATTCCCTACCAGTTCTGAGGCCCCCGCCCGGCTCCCCTGCCAGTCCGGTCACCGCCACCCGGCCCCTGCCGGTCCGGTTACCGCCGCCCGGCTCCCCTGCTGGTCGGGCCACCGCTGCCGGGCGGCTGGTCAGCGACTGTCATGGTGTTGAGGCTGGCAATGGTGTGTTGGCTGTTGATGCTGAATTATTTTTTTTTTTTCATTGGCCTCGTTTCAACCGACATGAGCTTGGCGAAGATTATGACCCCTGGCATTTGTTGATTAATGATGCTCGGGCTTGGTTGCTGCCGTGTGGCCCCTGTGCTACGTCCCACCCGCCATTGATACGTGCGGTCATGTTTGAAATGCCAGGGTGCAGTGTTGTGATGCGATAGCAGTGCCGTCGTGAGAGACCACGCTCGGGGCCGTCTGCGATCCTGGCAGGCAGCGGGCCTTGCTGGCCGTCTGGGCGTGCTTGACATGGCCGCTGTTGCAGGGTCTTGGGCCCACATGTCACACGGTGCTGGAGACCGAGGCGCGCTTCGAGCCACAGGGGAAGGTCATCACGCTCGTGCCCGAGGTTACCACGCACCAGAGGCTCATCCTCACGCAGAAAATCAACAGCACCCAGCACTACAGGTGGTGGAGAGAACGCGATGGACTTGCATGAACCGCACCCAGCATCGCTATGTTATTCACGTTCATTCAGTCAGACATTGGATGACATGATGTATCCAGAGTTGCCGCGGCGCTGTGTTGTCGCCTACACCACCAATCACTTCCAGACGCCGGCCGAGAGCGGCCGCCGTCACGTCTGACTGGTGGGGCCCATGTCAGCGGTCACGCTGTGGCGCGGCATAGCCGACCGTCGTCCTCACGGCTGGCGAGCTGGGCCCATGTCAGCGGTCACGCTGTGGCGCGGCATAGCCGACCGTCGTCCTCACGGCTGGCGAGCTGGGCGGCTGCACCGCCGCCGAGGATAGTTATGGCAACAGACACCGGCGCCAGCTGCACGAGCTGCCTCTCCTCCCCCGACCAGCGTAGTCAGGCGTCTCGGCCGTGCTGCTGGCCAATGCGGCCACCGGCTTGACCTGGCAGCGGTAGTGGCCTATGTTCCGGCCGATGGATACCGCGTCCCAGACCGACGCCCCACGTCCCCAACCGACGTCCCTTGTCCCCGATCGACGCCCCACGTCTCTGACCGACGCTCCACGTCCCCGACCGACGTCCCACGTCTCTGACCGACGCTCCACGTCCCCGACCGACGCCCCACGTCTCTGACCGACGCTCCACGTCCCCGACCGCTGCCCCACGTCTCTGACCGACGCTCCACGTCCCCGACCGACGTCCCACGTCTCTGACCGACGCCCCACGTCCCCGACCGATGCCCCACGTCTCTGACCGACGCTCCACGTCCCCGACCGACGTCCCACGTCTCTGACCGACGCTCCACGTCCCCGACCGACGCTCCACGTCCCCGACCGACGTCCCACGTCTCTGACCCACGCTCCACGTCCCCGACCGACCTCCCACGCCCGCGACCGACGCCCCATCCCCCCCCCCCGACCGACCTCCCACGCCCCCGACCGACGTCCCACGCCTCTCATCGACGCCCCACGCCCCCGACCGACGTCCCAGGCCCCCGACCGACGTCCCACGCCTCTGACCGACGCCCCCACGCCCCCGACCGACGCCGACCATCTGACACGCCCCCTCTGTCAGGTTCGTCGTGCCGGCCGGCGTGTTCTCTGCTGTGGTGAACGTCTCCAAGTGTGTGGATGCGGTCGGCGGCGGCTCCTGCCCGCTGACGCTTTCTGCCAGCGCGCTGTCCCTGCCCGACACGGCTGCCGGACCCTTCACCACGTACGTTAGTCGACGCGCCGCCAGCTGCAGCCCGGCCGGCAGCATGGCCTGCCAGGGGTCCACCATCACCATCACTTTCGTAATGTACAAAAGCAGTGTTCGTGGCAGACCTTCTAGAGATAAAACGTATAAGTTTTGTCAATACTATAATGCGATGTTACCAGAACCGATGCTCTTTGGTGGGCTCTGCGGCAGCCTCTACATAGTCGGGCACCTGCGTGTTTCCAGCTGCTCGGGGTATGTGAAGATACCATGTGAGCGGCCTGTGGCGTTTGGGTGGACGGGACTGGTGCCTGGACGGCTCAGCGCCGTGTCGCGTCAGGCCGTGCTCTGGTGCCCGGGCGGCTCAGCGCCGTGTCGCGTCAGGCCGTGCTCTGGCGCCTGGGCGGCTCAGCGCCGTGTCGCGTCAGGCCGTGCTCTGGCGCCTGGGCGGCTCAGCGCCGTGTCGCGTCAGGCCGTGCTCTGGCGCCTGGGCGGCTCAGCGCCGTGTCGCGTCAGGCCGTGCTCTGGCGCCTGAGCGGCTCAGCGCCGTGTCGCGTCAGGCCGTGCTCTGGCGCCTGGGCGGCTCAGCGCCATGTCGCGTCAGGCCGTGCTCTGGTGCCTGCTCGTGTCCCGTCGGTGGGCACGCTGGGCTGCTGGTCGGCCGGCCCACCTCGGTGCCGCGGACTGGCAGCCGCCCGTGTCCCGTCCCGCCCGTCTGCCGCCGCACTGACCGGTGTGCTCTCCGCGGCCGGCTGCCGACAGGAGCGTCAACTGCAGCGAACTGTCGGACGGCGTGTGCTTGCTGCGGCTGGACGCGGCCGCCGACAGATGGCACTATGTCCGCCTGACGCCCCTCCCCGACGCCACCGCCCAGTTCGGCATCCAGGTGGTGCTGGAGAAGAGTGAGTCCGCCGCCCGACCGGGTCAGGGGGCCCGACTCGCCATCAGACGGTGCTACTCACGCGGCTGTGGTCAGGCGCATTTACTACCTGTGTTACCACATCAGGCATCGAGCATGCCTTTACAAAGCAGCCCTGATCTAGCGGCATGTGTGCACGGCGCAGGCACAGCGCGCTCATGGACCTCAGACCAGCTGATTGGGAGCGATACCGGCGGTGGCGCCGCCCCGCCCCGCTCGCCGCCGACTGCCAGTCAGCTCGGCTGGCCTGGGCTTTTGCGATTATGTTTTGATGCGTAATGCTGCTCGGAATCATGTTGCACACGCTTATGGTCCGATGGATATTTTCTGCGAGTCATTTCCCGACATGGCCGGCTGCCATCGCGATCTTTGGGTGCCGTGCGGGGCGCACCGGTGGTCAGGACGCTGGCCTTCTCACCAGGGCTCGGTTCGGTGATCGTGTGTGTGGGGGCGGTCGGTCGCGGCGCCCGACAGCCCTGATAGCCGATCAGCTAACACCGTGTGCGCAGGAGCCCGTGATAATGCAACAGCTGTGTAAACACGTGCACTTGGTATCTGGGGCGTTCTGGGAAGTCGTGACGCTCGCCACGCCAGGCAGCGCGGTCGCTGACGTCACCAGTGACGCGTGGTTAGGTGGGGCTGCCCTTGGGATCACTGTGCAAGTGATAGCACGAAGGTCCGTGACGCGGCGACGTTCTGGGTACTCGGAATGCCGGTCGCAGTTGGCCAACTGCGGCGGTGAACGCAGGGACGGCTATTTTCCGATGGTTTAGTAGGTGGCGATGTTTCGCTCTTTTTTTTAGCTTTGACTGATCGTGTTACGCCCTTAATATGAACGCCAAGGGATAGGCATTGGCGCCGACGCTGTCAGGACCCATTCCCGGTACGTTGTGGGCTGCTGGAATAAGCCTGTTGGCCCGTCGGTGACATCACTTCAGTGGCGCCGTGGCTCGCGAGGATGGCACTGAACTCCTGACGCATGGCTCTGGCGTTCGCTTGCTGATGCGCCTTCGCGGTTCGGGCCAAGTCAGCCTCTGTAAGACGAAGCGATGCGTAAGCGCCACGATTAAAACCATCAATGTATCGACCAGCTTAGAGCGGCTATCTGGGACAGCTGCTGCCTCAGCCCCCCACCTCACCCTACCTCACCTTACCTCACCTTACTTCATTGTGCCTCACCTCACCTCACCATGCCTCACCACAACTTACCTCACCTCACCTCACCTTACTTCATTATGCCTCACCATGCCTCACCACACCTTACCTCACCTCACCATGCCTCATCACACCTCACCTCACCTCATCTCACCTTACTTCGTTATGCTTCACCTCACCTCACCACCCCTCACCGCACCATACCTGACATCACCGCGCCTCACCTCACCTCGCCCTATTTCATTATGCCTCACCTCACCTCACCTCGCCTCACCTCACCTCACCTCACCTCACCTCACCTCACCTCACGTCGCCTCGCCACGCCTCACCTCACCTCACCTCACCTCACTTCACCTCACCTCACCTCACCTCACCATACCTCACCACACCCCACCGCACCGCACCTCATTTCACCTCGCCTCACCTCACCTCGCCACGCCTCACCGTACCTCACCTCATCATGCCTCACCTCATCTTACCTCTCCTCACCTCACCTCACCTCACCTCACCCTCACCTCACCTCACCTCACCTCACCTCACCACACCCTACCCCACCCCACCCCACCATGCCTTATCTCACCTCATCTCACCTCACCTCACCTTGCCTCACCTCACCACATCACACCACACCGCACTGCACCTCATCTCACCTCACCACCCCTCACCTCATCTCATCTCATCACACCACACCACACCTCACCTCACCTCACCTCACCTCACCTCACCTCACCTTACTTCATTGTGCCTCACCTCACCTCGCCTTACTTCATTATGCCTCACCTCACCTCACCGCACCTCACCTCACCTCACCTCACCTCACCGCACCTCACCTCACCTCACCTCACCCCACCTCATCACACCTCACCGCACCTCACCTCACCTCACCGAGCTGTCCTCTGCAGACTGTAAGGAGCCGCAGCGCGACAACGAGTACATGCTGGTGAGCGAGATCCACTGCCAGAGGCCGGCGCGCACTGCCTTCATTCCGGTGGCGTTCTCTGAGGCGGACGGTGGAGCGGGCGCCCAGAACGACACATGCTGGAACAGGTGGGCTGGCCCATCTGCCGGCAGCTCCGGCTGACAGGCATTGTCTGCTGAGGTTCATGTACAATGTTCAGAACGCGTTTGCCGTTGAGCCGAGCTAGATGGTTCCTGGACCAATGGCAACGACAACGCCGGCAACGATAATGACAGCCGGCGCCGGTGTCAGCTGAAGTGCTGGCTGTCTGCTTGTTTGATATTCGTCCGGTATGCTGACCTAAGCCCGATGCGTGAGTGGCGTTACTCTGACCCCGGTCTGTGTCCCCCGCTCCAGTGTGAGTCTGGGTGGCGTTGCGCTGACCCCGTTCTGTGTTCCCACTCCGGTGTGGGTCTGGGTGGCGTTACTCTGACCCCGGTCTGTGTCCCCCGCTCCAGTGTGGGTCTGGGTGGTATTACTCTGATCCTGGTCTGTGTCCCCCGCTCCAGTGCGGGTCTGGGTGGCGTTACTCTGACCCCGGTCTGTGTCCCCGCTCCAGTGTGGGTCTGGGTGGCGTTACTCTGACCCCAGTCTGTGTCCCCGCTCCAGTGTGGGTCTGGGTGGTGTTACTCTGACCCCGGTCTGTGTCCCCGCTCCAGTGTGGGTCTGGGTGGTGTTACTCTGACCCCGGTCTGCGTCCCCGCTCCAGTGTGGGTTTGGGCCGGCGCACGCTGGCCGGCAGCCTGGCGTTCGTGTATGACCAGCTGCCAGCTCCGGACACGGCTGGGCCGCCGGCGCGGCTCAACATCAGCACGCGCCGGCCGTCGGTGCTGACGTTCGGCGTGCAGCCGGTGCAGGACATCGGCGGCACGCTGACCGTGGCGTTGACCCTGCCCGACTCGCTGGTCAGTCGGCCGGCCAGCACCAGTCGCTGGCTGATGGTACTGGCTACTTTTGTGTGTGTTTCTTATGAGGGACGCATGTATCGTCACCAATGTTGGGATGTGCCGAGGTATGTTATGGACGATGTGAGATGAAGTTTGATTGTGCGCAAATGCCATTGGGAGGAATGTAATCGCTTGGTTGATAACGCCGTTAGCAATCGTGCAGCTGGCAATTCGCGGCGTCCTGGAGGCTCACCATCTTCGTGGCGTCCCATGTCCGTCACCCGAGCAGTCCCGCCAACGCCGTGGAGTGCTGGTGCGCGGCTGATACCGCCCCGTGCTGTCGACAGAACACATCGGCGGCGAACGTGTCAGTGACGGGGTGCCTGTCGCACTGGGTGCGGGCGCGCCTGCTGCCGGACGGCCGCTGCAGCTCGGGCGTCCGCCTCTCCGTCAACAGCACCGGCGGCGGCGGCGGCGGCGGCCGGCTCGACAACGTCACCCACCTGCCGTACCCAGAGCCGGGCGACTGGTACCTCACGCTGGCCGTCCGCTGCTACCGCCAGCAGCTGTACGGCAGGTGAGAGGCGCGCTCCGGCCTGGCCCGGCCTACCCCGTGAGATCGCGTCTGCTGCGCCTGTGGCGGCGGCCGGGCGCGAGCGTGTGCCGCTCGCAGGGCCGGACGGCGGGCTGGCCGCTCCCTGCAGCGCCGCTGGACCGGCCCTGTGATGGCGGCCGAACGCTGCCCGGCTGAGCGGACAGCCGCCTGACGGCCGTGTGCCCGGCTGAGCGGACAGCCGCCTGACGATCGTGTCTGCCCGGCAGTGAGACGCCAACGGTACCGTGTCCGGGGGATCAGACGGCGCTCGTGTTCCACATCGAGTCGGCGCCATGCCTGCAGGCGCGCTGCGGCGCCAATGGCGGCTGCTACCAGTACTTCTCTGGCGGCTTCGTCTTCTCCACCTGCGTGTGCTGGGCCGGTAAGCATGGTAAGGCCGTCCCGATGCCCCCGCGCCTGCCTGGGCATGAGCGCCGCCGTCCGGCGGCCGGCTCTGATCCACCGTCAGCAGTGTCGGCCTGGCTGGCTGAGCCGAGCGGCCGCCTGTAGGGCCGCCGGTGACGGCCAGCCGCAGGTGTTGTCGGCGCTCGGCCGGCGGTAGCGCACGCTGCCTGTGTCGGGCCTAGCGTCGAGCGACACGCGGCATGACCTTCGCGAACGTACGGAGCCACCGCGCAGCTAGTGTCGGCTGTCACGTATGCTATTCTTCGCACGGCTTGCACGATCGAAGGTCACATTAGCATGGAAGCAACGCTTCCAGGTGAGTCCCGCAAATCAAATTTGCGACCTTAACGTGCACTACAAAAAAATTCTGATTTCTGTGTTTGTTCGATAACGCATGACTCATTAAGGCATGACTTACGCCTGTGCACGCCGGCCTCGAGCGGCCTCCGTTCATTATCAGTAGCCTGGAGCTGTCCATACGCCTACATGTTAACCCGGTGATGGATCAAGGTCGTGAATGACGTCATTGATCGTAACCCAGCGGCTGTAGCCAGTGTGAAAACTGGTGATAAGAAACAGCTTGAGACGCCGGGCTTTTACAGTATAACCAATCTTTGTGTGATTGTTGTTTGACCAGGATTTGCGGCATACGGAAGGCCCATAACTCTCAGCGTGAGAGCTCTGAACTTATAATGCAAAAACCAAACAGGAACGCGGGGCTTTGCTTGCTGACGTCACGTGTGGCGTTCCCTACCGTGTGTGGCCAGTGCTGCAGTCGTCTGGCGTGCTGCGGTGTGCGCCTGACGTCAGGTGTGGCGTTCCCTACCGTGTGTGGCCAGTGCTGCAGTCGTCTGGCGTGCTGCGGTGTGCGCCTGACGTCAGGTGTGGCGTTCCCTACCGTGTGTGGCCAGTGCTGCAGTCGTCTGGCGTGCTGCGGTGTGCGCCTGACGTCAGGTGTGGCAGTCCCTACCGTGTGTGGCCAGTGCTGCAGTCGTCTGGCGTGCTGCGGTGTGCGCCTGACGTCAGGTGTGGCGTTCCCTACCGTGTGTGGCCAGTGCTGCAGTCGTCTGGTGTGCCGCGGTCAGGCGCCGCCGAGGTACGCCAGCCGTGTGCATTCTACATGTGTGTGTCGTCGTGGTTCACCATTCGTGGAGTTGCGTACGCTGTGTACATGCTCGGCCCCCAGGGTACGCCGGCTGGGGCTGCACCGACTCCTCGCACGCCACCTCCGACTTCCAGCTGCTGCTGGGCACGCTGCTGCTGACCATCAGTAACGTGCTGTTCGCGCCGGCCGTGGTGCTGGCGCTGCGCCGGCGCTTCTACACGGAGGCGCTGGTGTACGCCTTCATCATGTTCTTCTCGACGGTGAGCGGCCGCGGCGCCGCAGCGGCGGCCGGCCTGGCACTGACTGACCGACGGTGCCGTGTGTGCTGCCATCCTCCGCTCGCTTTGCCACCTGCTCACTCTCGCCTGAGCATGTGCATCCCGACACCTGGTCAGGCAGGGGTACGGAGTTCGATTCCCGGCGGTGCCCGCTCTTCCTGTCAGGGTTAGAGGCGGGTGGCGGCAGCGCCATACAGTTTGGGCTACTGAGCACATTAGGCCTGAATGACACGCAACCAGACCCCAATTAGATAAACATAAACTGATGTTGTTATCGTTTCGTTTGGGTCTTGCTGGAGGCATCTGTGGGCGGTGCTTGTCTGCCGGGCCGCCTGCTCTGACCACTGGCCGCCTGACCGCAGTTCTACCACGCCTGCGACGAGCAGAAGTACGCCTTCTGCCTGATGCGGCTGAGCGTGATGCAGTTTTGCGACTTCTACGCCGGCATCTTCGCCTTCTGGGTAACGCTGGTGGCCATGGCCGACCTGGCGCCCGCCTGGAGCTCCCTTCTGAACGTGGGCGGTGCCATGCTGGTGGCCCTCGGCGTCGAGTACGACCGCACCGGGCTCTGGGTGTTTGTCGTGCCCGTCGCCACCGCCTTCGTCTGCATGGTCACCTCCTGGGTGAGCGCCGGCGCAGTGGTGTGGAGGCTTAGGCTGAGACGCGGGGGCCGAGTCACAGACACGGGGGGGGGGGAGGGGGCGGTCCGAGCTCTGCCCGCCGTAGTGTGGCGGTCCGAGCTCTGCCCGCCGTAGTGTGGCGGTCCGAGCTCTGCCCACCGCAGTGTGGCGGTCCGAGCTCTGCCCGCCGTAGTGTGGCGGTCCGAGCTCTGCCCGCTGCAGTGTGGCGGTCCGAGCTCTGCCCGCCGTAGTGTGGCGGTCCGAGCTCTGCCCACCGCAGTGTGGCGGTCCGAGCTCTGCCCGCCGTAGTGTGGCGGTCCCAGCTCTGCCCGCCGTAGTGTGGCGGTCCGAGCTCTGCCCGCGGCAGTGTGGCGGTCCGAGCTCTGCCCGCCGTAGTGTGGCGGTCCGAGCTCTGCCCACCGCAGTGTGGCGGTCCGAGCTCTGCCCGCCGTAGTGTGGCGGTCCGAGCTCTGCCCGCCGTAGTGTGGTGCAGAATCTGTTAATGCTGAACAAAGCCGGGCCAGTGCCGGTCTGTCCACCTGGTGCGTATGCGCTCGCTTCCGTTGCATCTACAAGTGAGCATGTATTTGCTGCTGACCGTGATCACAATGGGTCCTGTCTCTCCTGACCGTGATCACAATGGGTCCTGTCTCTCCTGACCGTGATCACAATGGGTCCTGTCTCTCCTGATCGTGCTCACAATGGGCCCTGTCTCTGCTGATCGTGATCGTGATGGGTCCTGTCTCTGCTGATCGTAATCGTGATGGGTCCTGTCTCTGCCGATCATGATCACAATGGGCCCTGTCTCTGCTGATCGTCATCGTGATGGACCCTATCTCTGCCGATCATTATCGTGATGGACCCTGTCTCTGCTGATCGTAATCGTGATGGGTCCTGTCTCTGCCGATCATGATCGCAATGGGCCCTGTCTCTGCTGATCGTGATCACAATGGGCCCTGTCTCTGCTGATCGTGATCACAATGGGCCCTGTCTCTGCTGATCGTGATCGTGATGGGCCGTGTTGTTTTTATCGTGATCACAATGGGCCCTGTCTCTGCTGATCGTGATCACAATGGGCCCTGTCTCTGCTGATCGTGATCGTGATGGGCCCTGTTGTTTTTATCGTGATCACAATGGGCCCTGTCTCTGCTGATCGTCATCGTGATGGACCCTATCTCTGCCGATCATTATCGTGATGGACCCTGTCTCTGCCGATCATTATCGCGATGGGCCCTGTCTCTGCTGATCGTGATCGTGATGGGTCTTGTCTCCGTGCGCTGAGTGGCGTGCGTGGCCGCCCGGCAGGTGGTGCACTGTCGGCGGCAGAGGGCGCTGTTCCCGCCGCTGCGTTACCTGCTGCTGGGCCTGCTGCCGGGCGCCACCATCGCTGGCGCCGGCCTCGTCTGCTACACACTGCTGGAGACCGAGGAGAACTACAAGTACACGCACTCGGCCTGGCACTGCTGCGTCGCGCTCTCAGTTCTGTTCCTGCTGCCGGCACGCCGGCGCCCTGATGGCTTGTTCAGCCTGGAGGGCGCCTCGCCTGCCGGCAAGGTGCTGCGCGTCGGCATTGGCGGCGGCGGCGGCGGCGATGGCAATGGGCGAGAGCTCAGCCAGCAGACGGTCAACACCAGCGCCGACTGCGAGTCGCGCCGCTAGGGGCGCTGCAGTGGCGTGAGGCCGCTGCCACTCCGCTGACCTGGGCTGGGGCTGATCTCCCGGCGGCCAGCCATCCGCTCGCGCCGCCACCTTCCAGTGCCCTACAGCGCAGAGAAAGACAGCCGGTCACATGTGGCCGCCTGTGCGGCGGAGCCACTCACCAGGGCATCGATCGGACTTAGGCGCAGGCTAGGCTAGTCTCGACGAGGCTTCAGTGGATAATCGGTATCAGTTGTGCCACTGATCTCTAGCTGAGGAGCTCTGACTCACGTGCCGTCGCGTCCAGCTCGGAGCGGCCACGCTGCCAGGTGCCATGATGTTCAGGTATGAACGGCGGCTGCCGTTCTTTGAATCACCTATGCTTCGTTGTGACAATCGGTCGTTCGTAGGGTAGGCTTCGTTCACGTACCATTCAGTCCACTTGGGCTCGGTAGCGGCGGCTCGCTTGCCATCCCGTTTTGTGTGATTGTGACCCGCAGTGGGTCGTAATCTGTAGTGCATGATACGGCGCGAGTGCTAGGATCGGCATGATACCGGCGCGGCGCGCTCCTCAATCAGGTGAGCGGCGATCGGGACGGCCGCATACAGGCCGTGGAGGCCGGCGCCCGGCTCCGTACTGTCCAAAGCCACGTCACACGCAGGCCACGGTCCAGGAAGGCCCTGGTTATTGGAGGCCGGGAAAGGCCTCTCGTGCCTGGTTATTGGGGGCGGGGAAGGCCTCTCGTGCCTGGTTATTGGGGTCTGGGTGTCTTTTAGTGTCACTCCCTGAGCTTCATTCCATTTGATACCAGGTCGATGATGGAATCAAGTATTTTCCGTAAGTCGCACTGTTGTGGGCTGTATTGTCGTCGCCATTATGTTTTTCCCCTGATCTTGGACTACAATCCTATTGTATAGCTGTTCAGTCTGAGGTGAGGCAGAGGGACTGTTTTAATAGATGTTACTTGTTTTGGTGCCCGTTAATGTACCGCTTTTTGCTCATTCTTGAAAGCAGGCATCTGCACACGGCTTCTTTTCGTCCCTGTATCTCGCATAGCGGGTCGTGTTTTCAGTCCTTGTACCGTCATGGCTTCTTTTCGTCCCTGTATCTCGTATAGCGGGTCGTGTTTTCAGTCCTCGTACCGTGCAGGGCGTCCTCTGGTGACGGCAAGGGTGGATGGGCTAGTCCCGAGCAAGGCGTCGAGTCGCCTGTGGTCGGCCCGACGCGCCAGTGGCGCCGCCTGTCGCTGAGCCTGTCGTGGTAGGCGGGCCGACACGCGCTCGGGCAGCCCCTGGCCAGTCGTGCCGGCCGATCCCGCCCGGTCGGTCGCCCTCCCGCCGCGCCTGTCTCCGCCATGTTGGCGACCCTGGGTCGTCGGGTCCGCCCCGGAGCCGGCCAGCGCCGGCTGTGTTGTCATTATTGTGCGGTACGCCACGGACTGCCAGTCAGATGATACCACTTGTTTTTCAGGGCACCGTAGAGGTGGAGGTCGTTTATGGCATGTGTAACCGTCCTGTTTTTGTTTTTTTATCGGACTGTTTGGCAGCCCGTCGTAGGGGGTTCGCCGCCCGCCGTCCGTCTGCACGGCGGCATCAACGCCAGAGCGATCCGTGCGAGCTTCCACGGTAACTATGGACATTTGTCGACGCGCTTCATGCCGCCGTTCCCTGGAAGAAAAGTAAACGTGACGTCTTGGGCAAACAAAGATAGCCAGGCGGTATTAAATTCGCACGGTGAAGCGTTTTCATGCCAAATTCTCAACCGCAGTGACCGGTACCCGTGAACGACTCGAAACGACAGACGCGACATGTGCTTGTCTTCTGTGCGGCGACACAGTTGTGGGCGCATTTTGAGGTCATCCTTTGTCCCCACTTCTGAAATTCTCAGCCGAACGTTCCAGCTGCCTGTAATAGGGCCGGTTGTTGGTCCGTACCGCCGGCGTGCCGCATGTCTGAGTAGGCCGGCTGGAGCCTTCCGGCGGGCCGGCGCCGCCGGCCAGGGCGGCGGCGACTGCCGGCCGGAGCGGCGTCCGAGCTGGTGAGGCTGTGCTGCTGGGCCGACCTCGCCAGCCCAGCCGGTCCGTGTCCAGGGGACTCGCCCACTCTGTGAATAGTCGTGCTCCTCGGCAGTGCTGTCCTCTAACGGGCTTATCATTGTGTGGTGTGGCTGGTGAGCAGCTGGGCTCTTCGCCTGGTTCACTCTGTTGATTGCTGTTAGATTGGCCTCGTCGCCTGAATGTGTGCGGTGGGCGGCTGCAGCGACAGCGGCGGTGTGTGGCTGCAGCCCGCCGCCAGCGCGCCCTCGCGTGACCTAGTCAGAACAGAGCCGCGCGTGGCGTGGACGTCCGAAACACTAGTCTTTCGGCCTCTCATTAGCGGCGTCCGGCCGTCGGCGGCGTGTGTAGCACATCGAGTGGTGGTCCGTGCCCGGGCCCGGGTCCCTGCTGCCGTCCTAATCTCGCCCGCTCGCGCCGGCGGCGCGCTGCCACGGCTGGCGGCCAGCCCGGCCGGTGTGGTCTGCGACGGAGGTCGGGTCACGGCCAGGTGCGGGGTGCGTGCCCGACCCTCGGAGGAGACGGAGGTCGGGCCACGGCCAGGTGCGGGGTGCGTGGCCCGACCCTCGGAGGAGACGGAGGTCGGGCCGCGGCCAGGTGCGGGGTGCGTGCCCGACCCTCGGAGGAGACGGAGGTCGGGTCACGGCCAGGTGCGGGGTGCGTGCCCGACCCTCGGAGGAGACGGAGGTCGGGCCACGGCCAGGTGCGGGGTGCGTGCCCGACCCTCGGAGGAGACGGAGGTCGGGCCACGGCCAGGTGCGGGGGTGCGTGCCCGACCCTCGGAAGAGAACCCACCACTCCGTCGCGACATCGGCCGACTTCGAAGCCGTCGCCTGGGCGGTTGCAGTCTGGGTCTCCGTGGTCGGAGGCACGCGTTGGCGGGGAGTCATCTGATGGTGACAGTCGGCGGCACACCGCCCATCTGAGACGTCATCAGCCACCACCTCGTGACTCTTTGGCCACGCTCGTGCTTCAGCTAACTGGCCAGATCATCCGGAACTAGCGGGAACGTTCGACCTTTTACGGAGCCTCGGACGGGCACGGCTGGCAGACATCTGTGAAGACGTTGTTGTCACGGAGCTCCCGCCGCCACCACTGTGTTACCGTTTGGTCGCTTGTCTTCAGACACGCGCGTCTCTAAGTGTTCAGGGGGCCCGGCGTGACGGCGGTCAATCGAGCCGTCCTCCCGGTCGGTCAGCCTGTTCCGTGCGAAAACACCAACGCTGTACTCGTGTTCGTAATGTACGATTTTTGTGTGCCATGAATCAAGCTCTGGCGTGGCCATTGTCCATAGCAGGTATTTTGATAATATTTTACTCGATTCGTCGCGTGGCATTTGCGATAATTAGTTTTGATCATCAGCCGCTAACAGGCACGAATGCTATTCCGACCTTTGCCATCATTGTTCTTTGACGTTGCGCGGTTTGCCATGGTGCGTGTTGAGGAAGGTGCGATGGCCGGTCGGGCGGTGTTCGGTGGCCGGTGTTTGTGTCGCGCGGTCAGACGCGCCGCCGGACCTCGTTGTCAGGTTAGCCGACACTGACGTCACTCCACGTCACGTGACCCGGTGGGTGTGTCCTGTGCGGGCGGACGCGGCGCCGGCGTGCCGAAGCTCAAGTGGCGCGCTCGTCCATTAGGCGTAGATCTCCTCGTGCCGCCAGGGCGGAATACACACTAACCAGGCCGGCCGGTGTTGAGCACCGCTGACGACGTATGCGCCGTACAGCGCGGCGCCGAGTGCCCCCCGCACACAGCGGTCCGCTGGCCGGCTTTCGTGGTGTTACGTCGTTACTGACGCCAGATCGTATCAAAATGTAGAAAAACTCGGGACGAAGAACAGCCGGCCAGCGTGCTGATGGTCCAGCTTCGGCCAATGCCTTGCTTCCCAAACGATCTTTTGTTGCTTAGTGGTGTTTTCGGGCACGCCGACTGCAGACCATTTGGCGCCTATAACGAGCCATCATACATTAATAATGAACCGTGTGAATAGCCCCGAAGTTGAAATACTTCAAGAACAAAGAAGGTCTGGTTATATTCAAGAAAGTGCGAGTTGTCCTCTAGTATGTCACTAATGTATGTCACTAGTATGAGCGGCAGGGGCAGGACACGCTGTCCAAAGTGACGCAGACGTTCTTTTACGATGCGCAGACACGATCTAATCGCATAGCAAGCGGTGAGAACAACAACACAGGCAGAGAGGCCTACCCGCTCCCTCAACAGAAAGCCGTGGGTTGCATAAGTGTGAGCAATACGTAGTCTGCAGAGGATCACCTCATCTCGCGTCACCTTGCGAGAACAAGGCAACCGCTGACCCAGCTGGGGTTTATCACTCTGAGCCAATTGTCATCGGTACCATGCCAACAGGTGCCAGGCGATCTAGGGAGCAGCTCGGGTGGTGCGCACGCCCTTTGATGGCCGTCCTTAACCGCCCTTGCTGGTGCGCGTCAGCGTTGCTTAGCAACGGTACGCGACGCGTTGCCAATGGGTTGGGCCGGGTGGGCCGAGTCAATGGGACAAATGAGTGTAGACGCAGTGTAGCTACAACTGGTGTAAATGAACAACAACGGGGAGCATGTCGCGTTTAACTTTGACATTTTATGTCAGGATGTGCCCAATGCTGCTCGTTTTATTAAATTTTCGTTTTAGCCAGCGTTAAGTGTGCCAGTACAGAACAGTGGCGCGGGTGGGGAGGTACAGGACGCGTGCTCCCACCCAGGCCCCGAGGGCTGAAGAGCCGTTCGGGGCCTATGATTAAGGGCTCGGTTGGAGTGTGCGGAGGGCTGGTCGGTGTCATATTAAGGGCCGGGCTCTCACATGCCAGAGGGCCTTTTGCGCCAACTGGGGGGTCCCCGTGTCGATAAGGGCTTCTATCGGTCATGCACCATCAGTACCGGACAATCTGTGCCGTATCGGCCTTGGCCCGAGGGTCTATTTCCCAAGCAGGGACAAGGGGCCGGGCCTGTGCTTTATATTGGCAGGGGCGCTTGAGTCAATGAGAGGCCCTCTGTGTTGGTCGTAGGCCCACAGCGCTTAACGGGGCCAAGGTATTGGCAAGGGGCCCGAGTAGGCGAGAAGAACATTTGCTTATCACGGACAGGGACGGGACCCCGAATGGCAGGAGATCTCTTGCGTTGGTCGGGGCCCTTTGACAGTGCAAGGATATGTGAAAACTCATGCTGAGAGCCCACAAGGAGGCAACAAAGGGGCCTTGTGTCAGTCAGGGCCCCTAATACCGAACGAGGAGCCCTGTGCGCCATTTCAGCCAAGGGCCGAACTGGAACCTGCGCTACCGCCTTCGGCGATAAGAAATTATGTTGTGTCAATGAGTTCTGCGTCGATTCGGGGCCAACTGCCTGGCTCAGAGGGCTCCGTGTCAGGGAGGAGGCCAACATTTCACGCATCTCTCTAAGGGTCTCCGGACCGACCAAGCGGCATCGCCTCCGTGTCGCCAGAATGGCGGTAGGCACCCGCGTAAGAACGGAATGACAGCCTTTGACCGGGAACGTTGATGTGCCCCCAGTGTTCTACCCGGGGACCCCTTGCGCGGTAAAGGTGTGGGATCTCATTGGTCTTCGCAGTTCAATCTGATGGACCGAAATAAGCTCAGTAATGAAAGAGCTTAACCCATGCTGGCCTGAGAACGTCCATCTGGTTTTACAGAACGGAGTGGTGGAAGATTGCACGAAGAGTTTTCAGCCTGCGCACTTCCAATCATAGCAACAAAAACGGCGATGGCCGGAGTTGCAAATCCCTGGAAAAACCCGCCGGTATCGGCCCGCTGTGGAGAATGCCAGGCGGCTTCCGAAAGTCTCTGAAAATCAATTTGTACCGTTCAAAGACAGCACTGGGCGTGAATTTCGCGTAGTTTCGAGGATGTCCTCTGGACAGATTAATAGCCGCAGCGACACGAAAAATATATATTTTTCTTGCGCTCTCCCAGTTCCGCCACCAGATTCCAGTACCAGTTCGCAGTGACAGGCGCAGGAACGTTTCAAAAAGTGTGGGGGACCAAGCTCAGGGTGCACTTCAGGAACTCTTTCTGGAAAGCAAGCCAGATGACGGGGAGGGGGGGGGGAGTAAGAGATGGAGGTTGTTATCACTCTTCATTCAAATGTCACGGCTGCTATGGTAGATATGAATCTAGGGCTATTTCTCATTGGTGCGCAATGTTGCCTATTCGACACATCTATGTCATGCGGCAAATAAGGCTATCCACCTTCCCAGGATTATTCGTCCATTTCAACATAGCCCTTCCTGGAGACGCGAAATTCCATGGACGGGTGGGCATTTTGGGTCATTAAGGAGGCATCTGCCCTCACAGGGTAGATGGCAAAATAGGCCTGGACATAGGCTGGTGATGATTTTTAATGTGAATCGAAGGCTCACAGTGCGACAGACTTTTGATGCGCCCTTATTTCGCCGGCTGCTTTTCAAGACATAAGGCTTGCCGCAGCATTTTAGGTGGAAACGGATTCAGAAGCTTGAAACCGCCAAAAACAACATAACAAAGGCCATAACACGAAATTCTCCTACAACAACCAAGCCAAAGAATGAAGGCCTTTCTGACCTATATTCCTGATCTGAGCCCTGCTCCCGTCTGCCGTCGGCGGCCACTGTGCAGGCCCGGCTGCCTCCTGCATGACTGATTGCGGATCAATCGTATGGCTGCTTTGTCGTATATTTCTTGATCAGTATTACTACTAACTGGTGTGTGAAACACATGTTGGTCGCCTGCAACAGTATCGTGTTCCAAATTATCTTCCCTTACACCACACCACCGCAGAAAAAAACTCCAGCAGGCTGCCTGCCTTAGGTATGAATTGGCCCAACGGACATTTAGTTGCCCATGACTCAACGAGTCCGTATCGGGTCCATATCATATTGTCCAAGGTACAGAATGTCCAAAGTACAGAATGTCCAATGTACGTAGTGTCCAAGGTACAGAATGTCCAAAGACCAAAGCTTCCAAACTAGTTCCTACAGCGGCCGCCAGGGTATGAATAATCACCCTTATTGGCAGGCAGCGTTGCCGCGTCGAGCGCCGGCCGCGCGCATACAGTCGACACCATTACGAAGACCACGCGTGTGAGGCTGGCCGGCCGGATTACTAGCTAAGTAACAGATCCATGTTCGTTCCACGACGCAATGGAGCCGGCTGGTGGCGCCTGACCGAGCATTAGTCGCTGATTGTCAAAGTTGAGGCCCGGTAAGCTTTGCCTGCATTTTGGGCTGCTAAAGAATATTGAAAGCAGGCGTAATATGAAATGGAATTATAGCCGCGCTGTGCCCGAAAATCTAATTGTCGAAATCGACAGCAGCAGTGTACAATTCAGGGATGCCCATCTTGACTGCTCAACTGTCAGCATAATGCAGACATCATAAGTTCAGTTTACTAAATTCAAACAAGTTCAAATAACAAATATCTTCAAGTTAACAACCATTTCC